TAAAACGACTCTAGCAGCTATGAAGAAGGCTGTTTTAGTGATTATTGCTAAGCTTCTGTAAAGCACATCTCAAAATGTGAAGCAGCAGATGTCAGCAGGGAATTATTTGAATAATGTTGCCTCTGTGAAATGTGGTTCTGTCCCCTTTGCTCTGTGATGTGCCTAACTCAATATGCAGGTTCTGTTGTTATTTATTACGTATTTTGTTGCAGACTACAGTGGGTAGAAGAGGGTACTGTCTGCTCAGGCAGAATCACTATTTCTTGGAGAGAGAGGAACTTCTAAGGAGGCTTCAAGAGATGATTGCACCTGTCTGGTGAGGAAAGAGAAACTGACACCAAGAAATCTGATTGCGGATAAACCCCAGTCTCCTCTGCTTATTAACACAGAGGAAGCCTTGAGAGGACAACTAGAAAGCATCACAACACTTCGTATTTGAAAGAAACATACAAACAACAGAGGTAGATTTCCAAGTTAAGTGCCCTGAGTGTATGTTTTCTCTCGTTTTTGTCTGCTCCTCTTCTGTGTCTAGTGGTGTTGTCTGGTCAGTGGTGTTGGTCTGGAAGTGAGGCTCTTGATCCTACATTCTAAAGTGTCATTCTGTGAGCCAGTGTGTTTGTAATATTTCCCATCTTAGAGCTGTCATTGCCTGTAAGTTTTGCAATGTGGGGTTTCAGGCATTCAACAAAGAGTACTGATCTAGGATGTCTGCCTTTTGCTAGAACCCAAGCTACCATTTACAAATGGCACAATTTTATTATGTTCCACTCCATTCTCTTACGTTTGCTATCTGTTTTTGTTGTTACAACAGAAGAATCTGTCACAGTTAAATTAGCCGACACAAAAAACTTCATTACAATTCCATTATGTCTAGGACTGTGCTTGAAATAAAACAAAACTGTAACCCACCCGCTGGCTGTAAATCCCAGACAAGAGCCTGACATTGACTCTCTAATGGAAGTAGGAAGTCTCAGAACAACAAAATGTCAGGAAGCACTTGGTTTGTGATTTGAAATTGGCAAAGGCAATGAAAGATTTGATTGAATTTAATTTTGATTGAATCAGGACCAAACACTTTCACAAAACTAAAAACTGGCTTCCTTTTGTGGACAAGATATTTCAAAGATCTGAAGAAGCAAAAGGTAAACGTTCACCACCTACAGTATGGTAGCTTTTGGGGAGTTACCTGTACTGTAGGTCATTACCTTTGTAAGATGAGCAGGTTAAACTGACAATTTATATTCTCATTTCCAGATTTATAATGAGCAATTTTGAGTGTGATCCGGAAGTAAATAGAGTGATACAATGAGGACAAAAGTTCAGAGGTTTGAGTGTGTCTGAAAGTTAAATGGATACATTTTAGTGTTCCTGAGTGTATAGTGAAGATAACATTTTAACTCATAACACTTGGCTAGCAATCACTTGTTACATTCAAGAGGATTAAAAAGTACTTGCAGATACCACAACTATGGATGATTTCCAAGGATAATAAGGTGCTGCAGGAAACGATGTTTCCAGTACTGTTCGCATCATCCTAATCTGAGGCGAGCATTAAATCTGAGTCATGTTATTGTACTACTAGATCACTGTGGTAACATCTTTCATAAGGGAGGTGGGAGAGGTAATTTCATATTCCATGCTCTGAAAAGGAAGTGATTTAACTGCTGCAATGCTTGTGCCTGTTAGTTTTCTTACATGCCATCCTGGTCTGTCCAAATCACTGCTGTATATGGACTCACTGTACAGATTTTTGTCTGATATAAGATTAAATCACTTTATTGGCCATATACAATTTCTTACATTAAGAATATTTATTTTCACATACCCCAGCTTGCTCTCCATGAGACATACAGACAGGGAGAGAAGCTTGGGGTCAGAGCACAGGGTCAGCCAGTGTACAGCACCCCTGGGTTAGGGGCCTTGCTCAGGGGCCCAATGGAGTAGGATTCCTCCACCAGCCATGGGATTTGAACCAGCAACCTTCCAGCCACAGGCGCAGATCCTTAGCCACAGAGCAACCGCTCCACCGCAGATGTAATCAGATATTACATCTGATATTACAGTATTCTACACTTTCAGGCTGCCTGTAAAAGAAATCTATTTTTGGGTACGGTACAATGGTATTGCACATTCCAGAAATGAAGTTCCTTTGGGTAAAAAAATAATGTGAAAGTAATCTTAAATGAAAATAAATGAACAAATGCTTTGCTGTACCAATAGGCTATGCACAAGAAGAAGCAGCTTGTATCCGCTCTCTATATTTTACAGACAGTGAAAGGGAAGAAAATAGTTGAAAGCTGAATCAGACCCTGTAATAGACAGTCATCTCAATAAAAATGAAATTCAGAGCAATGTGCACCATAAACTAACTTTTGAGATATTTGCTCAGGTTTCTGATCTGATAAAATAACTGCAGGAGGCTGCCAGACATAAAACATTGTTTGACACACTGGTGCTTGTAATACCATTAATAAACTTGGAATACAGTATGTCTATGCAATTAAGTGTGTTAAGATGAGATGAAGAAGCTAACAATTGCATTTCAGACTATTAATCAAAGATTTTATTGACAGCTTCTCAGTTCATCAATTTAAGGACATTAAAACATTTCAGATTCAGGGAAAGATCTGCCTGTCATTTTGTAATGCATTAGGTTTTGCTGGAGCAAACTGTTACACCTTTGCAATTACAGACATATTCTTCTGCAATGGTGAAGGATATTCTCACAAGCCAGACAAAGTATCTTAATTGGGCACATGACATTTTCAAGGCAGGGAACACTGCCCCCTTTCTTCCTGTTGTCCAGTAATGTAAAATCAATGTCATGAATCACATAGTCACACATGCCAATAATTCCATCTGTCAAGCAGGTCATTTTTCCTTGTTAGAAAAAGAAGTACTTCATACAATCCAAATAGTGCAGCACTATATAACGTATACTGTAAATCATAATCAGGAATTACAAGCCTACTGTAGACAGTGTAGATCCTTGCTCTTTTGATAGATTTGGTTAATTACATTATACATTATTTTGACCACCAAAATAGTATTCTTATTTGTTTTAATTTCAGTTTTCTTTCATCGTTATTAAGGGTTCAAGAAAAAATATTACTGTACTGTACATAAAGCTTTTAACGATTGATATATTGTGCTTTGCTAACTCACAAGTGTTGCTTTGCCATAAGATGATTACTGAAAGGTTTGTCAGAAACACAGTTGTATGTAGATGGGGATCTCTTTAGCATGACAGATCAACAGCACTTTTTTACAGGACGTTCATCTCCCTTTAGTGAAGCAAGATGTGCTTGTCAAGCTAAAACTTCTGTTTTCAATTTTTTTAACAGCTGTTAAATTGATTTCATCACAAAAGTTTAGTTTGAGGAAAAGTCTCAGGTTCTGCCAATAATTAGCTCCAGGGTATAAATATATGTAGCTAGAAAACGTTTTCCAGCATTTGTCATACTATACACCTACCTGCCGCTTTCAATCATTTTTGCTGATGTTTTCAAAACTGACCTCTTTACAGCAAACGACAGCAGTGCTCTGCCCAAACACCCACCCTTCTCCCCAATACCTCAACATATCCATAAACTGCAATAACACAAATCTACTTCTACTGTGTTACTCCACTCCTTGATGTCTGGAAAGATAAAATATTTTACACAGCCCTGAATCTGTCACAAAATGCCTTTTAATCCACGTGCTTTTTATGTCACCCGAATAACACCACTAATTTTTAGATCTGCTAGTGTCTGTCTGTCTCTATGCCTTTAGATTTGCTAGTCTCTATTCACACTGTACACACAGATGTCCTACCCTAGTCTCAGACTACAGCCATCTATCCTTCTCTTCAGCTATGCATCGTTTCACAAAAGTCTTTAACAGACTCATCAATCTTTTATTTAATTTACCCTTTTGGGATCTGACTACCTTGTTCATATGGCTAAGCATCGACTTTCACATCCAGCATCAAAATCACAGCACAGCTGCAAATATTCTAGGCTACCACCCTATCTAGTGTTTCAACAACTAGTATCTTATCTTTTCTCTTTGTATAAAACTATTAAAACATTTCACGTGAATGTGTAACTAAATCCCATTGGATCTACTTGATCTCCAGATCACACAAATGAGATTATTAATTGGCATAAGCATTATCTCCTGCTTCAAAGCTTTCAGTCTTTCTTTCCATCTCCAAGATCCCTGTTTGTTATGGCGCTTGCACTCAGTCTTTGTTCCATGATGTCCAACTCTGGCCTTGGTGTTCAGGCATCCATTCTTTACTCCAACTTTATCCAAACTAGGTGCCCATTAATCTCACGTTGACTTCACTAGTTAGGAATCCAACAGCCTTGTCCACATGGCTAGGCATAGCCCTTCAATCCAAGCACCCACACTCAGATCAGTAATCACACTCTCAAAACTATTTGCAACACCATGTTATCACCCTTAATTTCATGTGATTCAAATGTTACTGCTTTTATTTTCTGCATTCCATTGCAAAGGGACTAGTTTACTTCAATCCAAACATGTATTATACATAAAAGGTGGGGGGGTGTACTTTTGGAGAAATTGGCCTGGTGAACATCCTTCAAATCAAATATGTTAAGACTAAACTCTTTGTCCACTGCCAGTAAATACTGGAGCAGTCATCTTTTTACGCCGTGGTAAGACATCATACTTTTTTTTAAAAACCCAGCACTGCCTTAAAAAAATCTGTACCTGTGCTGGTCAGTTAAACAACTATGTTTTTAGATAATGTATGTAAAATAGTATAACATTTTTACTTTAAAAGACTAAGAACTATAAAAGAATACTAAAAAATAGCTAAATGGATTAAGTTAATAAAACTGCCTTGTCTCGTCAAAACTTTTCTCAAAATATCAAATTTAATGAATTCAAAATTCACTAGGCACCCACCACAGCAAAAGAGCATTTACCTCAGGGCTATAAACAGAAAGGAAATCAATTCACTTAGGCAAGATGAACAATTAACACACCTGAGCCTCTGGTAGTACTGCTTAACCTTTTCCAACGCAGCTGCATTAATCTGGGCTTGAAATTCTTCCACAGATACGTTGTCTCTGTAGTAGTATCCTTCCATACTTTCCAGTGCTGTGGGAAAACACAAAGACCTTTGTTACAACTCATATTTAAACAATTAACAGAAATGCAGCAAAGACGGTAAAGAGAGTTAAATGGAATCAAAATCCCAAACGCTATTTTTTCTAGTTCCTGTAAATGACAGGTCAAAAGGTCATATACTGTATAATGAACAGTATACAGTATATGCTGATTCATGAACACATTACTGCCCATGTTGGCCATGTTGTGCAGAAACAAATACACTTTTGGATGTTGGATGTACTGTATTGCCAGGTACAGTACTATATATACATTTTGAAATGCTCAAGTTTAAGAGATTTGCAGCATGGATAATTAATGAATCTGTTTGGAATGTGCATTAGGAATGGCGGCGCAGCCAGCACTCCTGAGAAAGATCTTTATTAATTCATGAGTTCAGGGCCTGGATTTTTACTGCACAGAATATAAACAATGACAGGGGCTAGATCACAGTAAACAAGAGGCTTCAGGAAAAGCACTCATGGGCTTCCCAGCCTTAGACTGTATATTTAGTAGGCATGACAGCTTTCTTCCTTAATTTACTATCACTAGATCCTTTAAAATACAGATACGCTGTAGTTTAAATGTCACTGTACTATCAATTATCACTTTATGCTTCATGATCTTTGTATATGATTAATACAAAGTAGAATTCCGTTCTACTCAATTGGGGATAACACACCCTGGGTGAAGAGGACTGGGTACAATTTGAATCCCCCGCCGTTCTTAAGTCTTTGTGGAAGTTGGTTAAAGTTATAACTTTCAAGATAGAAGTAAACCTTCAGGGCCTGACGAGTCCCCTCCACCTGGTATGAGATAGGCATATCTGTGGAAGTGAACAGAGAAAGCTCTTATCAAAACAGGCTCACAAGTCTGTCACTGGCAAGATTCAGAGGCACACACACGATAGTGGAAATCCACAGGACATAATGATTAGTTCTTCCCAAACAGTCTTCCTGGCATTTCTGTATCAATACAGTAAAACCTCAATATTCAAAAGTTGAATACATTCACAATATTGCCTAATTGCAGAAAATTTTAAGTGACCACTTTATCAGCATTTGCAGACCAAAACGGCTGCTTTGCTCACTCTCACTCTCCTGTGTAGGTCTCTGTAGTAAAGGCATAGCTTGGTTGACAAAGAACATGTTTACGTAGAAGTACATCATGGGTTATGCTTTAGTTATTCAGGAATGTGTAGATGAGTTGAGTGTAGACCAGTAATCAAAGCCTGTATGTGACTCAGTGTTGTGCTACAAAAAAAAAGAAAATTTATTTTCAATATAAATTGTTAATCCCAAGCTGAAATACTGTAATGAACCACATTCTGCAGGGCAACGCATAACCACAATGTCTCAAAAGTAAAGGAGGTTTATATTATTGCATTTCTAATGGCTATTTTTCATGATAAAGTATGTGATTTAACATGAGATTCATCTTAAGGTTCGTACATACTTGCCACCAATGGTTCCCCTTCAAACTGTCGAAAGTAGAAAGTCACCTTTTCAAGGTCTATTAGGGCCACCTGTGTGTCTTCCAACATAGCCTGCTCATCCATCTAAAGGCACAATAAAAGCACAGTCAAGCTCCCTTTACCTTAAGATTTAGCCACGTTGTATATTTTGAACACAAAAGATCGGAGCAAAATGCACAAGTGAGGATGCGAAGACATTTCTTTCAGTATTCCATTTAGTTTATACACTAATGTGATGTGAAATACATTATTCATAAAGTAAATGTACACTAAAGGAAATGCTACAGACATTTATCCTTGCATAATTATACAGTACCTTGAAGGCCATTAGCAAAATTAAAATGCTGCAACAAAATCTTGGGCTCAACGACAACCATTTTTTCCATACATAAATGTTGAGTTCTTTGGTAATAAATAAACAGAATGAGCCTGTGGTAGAATATAGCCTATTGCTAGTAATAGAAAATGTCATCTTAAAATTAGTTTATCTGTTCTAAAATTATACTGTACATGCAATGATATTTGGGCTCATGATACTGTTTGAAATATCAATACAGGTTTAACCTTCAGAGTTGGGAATTCATATTCTTAACTCTCACTTGAATCATAATGTGACACACATTAAGTATTGGTTTGTCATTTGCTTGTGGCGAATAGGTTAAAGTCTGCATTTAATCCAGATCTTAACAGTTACTATAAAAGCTGCAACACTGCAGTAGGCCAACCTTGATATACTGCATACACCAATGTGGTCTTTATTTTATATTCAGGGTCAGATTCTAATTATTGATCACAAAAAAACATTACAGGACACATAATTTGTTTATAGAATTAGTCAGATACCAAACACTTCTGAAGGACTATTTTCCCACGTGTGAAGTAAATGATCAATATTAAGGTGTTTAAAAATTCACTAGCATTACATCTCACTTAGGAATTCAAATGTGATATCCTGGCATATGATGAGATGCTAATCGGGTGTTTCTGTTTACATGAGAGAAAGATTGTTGTTTACCTCAAAATTACCATTAAAAAAACAACGCTTAGAAGAACTGATTGCCAGATCTCTTATTTTCTACAGAACCAATTCATTGGTTTGGCTATTGCTGTGACTGAGTCAGTTTGGACATGCAAAGGATTTGAAGCATATATGCCTTGGATATGCACTCTGCATGGAGAATGCACACCATAGCCTGCAGTGACTGAGAGTCAGCAAACACGTGGCAGTAAAGCCTATACTGGTAGAGACTGGAAGCAGTGTAAGAAGAAGTGAGGTAGTGAGGTATGACTTCCTACAACAGAATAGATGAGAACAGATTCTACATGGAACTGTGTGGAACTGCCAGAAGGGGAAAATGAGCCGAAGGGATGTCCTGAGAGCACATGGTGGGCATGAGAGGCAGCTAGAGGAAGCTAGAAGAGAGAGGACACTGCACCAGTTGGACACCATGGGTGGGGGGGTAAAGAGCGGGAACCAATTGACGTGCAATCAAGATAATAGGGGTGGGGATGGTTGTGAATGGGAACCCTGATCCTGCAAAGACTGATACCATTTACACCCTTGGGACAAAGTGGGCAACGGTGACTGCTTGTGGGCTCCTAAAGGGACAACAAAAAGGAGGACTGGGAAAGGGGGAGAGATGAGACAACAATGACAGGCCGTGAGCATAGGTTGGACGCACAACCAGAAATGGAGAGAAAGGGGAGAGGGGAAAGAGTGGGAGTGAGCAAATGTGCAGCGATTGCAGAAAAGGAGAGAAGAAGGGTGATGGGAAAGGAAGTGGACAAAGTTGTTACAGAGATCCAAGGAGGGTTGATGACATTAAGATTACTGGAAGAAAGAGATGCATCGTGGCAGGTGCAGGAAGCTGCATGTTTTCCATGGAGAGGCTGAGGTTGAAGAGAGGATTGTTTCAGAAAAGGCCAAGAACCACAGGGAGAGGTGCAATCTGCAGATCTAGCAATGCTGAGTAAGAGAGATTTCTGCCACTGACAAGACCGGATATCTGTGGGCTAGAAAAGATGGAGGAAAAGGGTTGTGCGCCAGGAGGATATTCAAGTACTGTATGTAAGAAAGCAGAAGTGTGATACTGTGTAACAATTTGACATTATCTTGAACTTCGGTTTAACAATTCCATTTGATCAAAAAATGCAGGACATGCATCTGAAGATACCTTTGGTACCTTTGTTAACAAAAAACATCAAACTCAAACATCATGAAAAACATCACAGCCAATTTAAACTGGAGCATGAAGAAACCTTAAGATTCAAGTCTAGAGAAAAACATCCCCGAACCATACAACACAAATTTAATGATTTATGTCTGATGGCTCACCTCCTGAGAATTAGTACTTTAATATTGTCCCTCAGTATGACTGTAACAGTAGTGTGTTATAAATATTTACATGTAAACTACAGAGAATTGTACATTGTCACAAAACTGTTATCATTTTAAAGCACTGGTTTAATATCACTGACTAGTACTGATCTTGTATCTGTTTTGAGATATTTATTAATGTAAAACAAATCCTGATAGTGCTGCCTCCCCATCAAAAAGGGAGAGCAGCACTTGTTCTTAAGTTAGACTTTCAAAACTGTGTCCACTTAAATTAGGATTAGGATGTTGGCTGTGAATAAGGATCAATTCTGGTTAATACTATTTTAAAGCACAATCCCTCCTAATAATATTACGTTTCTTAGCTGTTAATGTTTGAATACAGAAATACAGAGGCTCAGTAAATCATTGTTCCAAAGGGGGGATTATAGGGGACATACTGTAGCAACCTTTTTGCAATCATTAAGTTTGAGTTAAGAATATTGGACAGGTGAAAAGAAAACATTTATCAAAGGAAGAAATTATTAAGAAACTGTCACAGAGGAATCAGGAAGAATAAGGAAAAAATATCAATTAAATGCTACTCTATTGTTCTTTTAAGCCTTGATCATGTTAATTGCTTAATGTATCATGCAGAGAAGGGCTTTATTATTTAAACATAATCCTCATTATACTGCGAAACAAAGCTTTTTTTATGCAACACAATGAGATGTTTGTTGTGAATCAAAATGAAGTCTGCATAGAGTAAAACCTTAAACTAAAACGCTACAGTACCAAAGCACTGCAACTTTCCAACAGACCTCAGGCAACATACAGTACAGTATATAATACTTTCCAAGAAACATAAAAGCAAGATCCATGTGTTTGCAGGTGTTACTCCAAGATGTTTAAACATCAGATACTGTCCAACAGACTGTGTGCGAAGTTCTGTGTTCAAATCCAGTTAGTCAGGCTACTGAATTGCATATACTGCTTGGATGCACAACATCAGCCAAGCTTCTTACCAGATTGGGGGACAGCAGTGACTGGAAGTGGAACAGCAGGCCTGCACTGGCTATCTGCTCCAGCCACCTTTTGCTGGCCTCCTGAGTTTCTGTTTCATACTCCTTGCTGGTGTTGTGTGTCTGATTCAGGACCGCCACTAGCTGCTCTGAAAACGCACAGACTGCAGCCACCAGGCTCTGGCAGAATACCATATCTCGTCTCAGCTGAATCTCAGAGTCTACAGATGGAAAGCAGAGCAGGTCATCAGGAACAAATGCAACACAAAGCAGATTTAAAACCATGTTGGTGTTTTAATTAAACCATTTCCTTTCAGCCAGAGGCTGAAACGCTACAGCACATTTAAGTCCATATCTGACCATTGAAAACTATTAAATAAATGTATAGTTTTCATCATTTAAAATATTTTTAACTTTTTATAGCTGTTTTCAGAACTGGATCCCCAATACACATGGTTTTTAGAGAATTAAAAAACATCATATACTTCTTCTGGTCATTTCGGACACAAACCTTTGACTAAAATGTTAATGTACTGTAATTTATGAAATATAACATTAATATTTGTAGTATGCAGTAGTGCATAGGAATGTGGTGTTTCTGGGGAGTGTAGCAACAATTTTACATGAATCTGTAAGGTCTATTGGTACAGGGACTCACAAAAGTATTATTATGACATGCAAAATATTTGACTTCCAAATGCAGAATCAATATGAGGCTGTTACAGAACATATGATCCCTTGACTTAACCAATTGACTTAAAGTTGACTTCATTTATTTTCCTAGTATAAACAACAACAATATTTATTCTTTTCACATGTTTTCACAGCAGGATTATTGATTTGTTATAGCTGTGCTCTATCACAGAAAAGAATCATTACAAGTAGACAGACATTACTGTTGACTGAGAAAAGGAACTGAAGTCATCAGCATGATGAAAAGGATCATAACCTCAAAGTTCCAAGAGCAAGAGGTAAATAATTTATTTTCAACCACATATCCATTGTTTTGCCTTTTCATGTTATTAAATTAATCCAATTTAACTTAAGTAATGTGGGGAAAAAAATACCCAAAGAATGAATTTCACAAAAATGATTTCTATGTCCCAATTTCTACCTGATTTTAGATTCTGAATCTAATTAAGATTAATCTAAGATTTAGAATCAGAAGGACAATGACCATGCCCTTTGAACTTAAAAACTGAATGTCGGGCTTCATTGTGAAATGGTTCATTCATTTAAAATGGTTTCCATCCAGTCAAATCTATTCAAGACCACAGTGATGGGGAATTGGGGAATCTGATGGCAGAACCACATTCATCATGAAGTAGTGGGGGATGACCTGCTGCCCTTTTCCACCTGACAAACTGGAAGAAGACGACTGCTCAGGTGACAATTTAAAAACCTGTGGAAAATTCCACAGCTCTGTTGACATCTGCTGTACAGGTAAGAATCTTCAAGGTAGTGACCAAATGACCGGCCCGTGGACATTTTTGGGGGAGTTTTAGTATTAAAAGACATTTTTGGTTTTGATGACAGTAAGTAGCTTACAGTAGCTGCCTTGTTATTTCAAGGACATTTCAAGTAGAGTTTGCTTAGAGCTTGAAAGGAGCTACTGTAAGTTCTATTGCCATCTCCCTGTGTCCAACTACTAAAAGGAGATCACTACCACATCGCACAACGCCTCTAGCTGTGGCACAATGATGGAAGACCTGTAAGTAAAACCAGACTGCTGCTGTAAGAGCCACAATTTCTAATCATGGTATTGTAGCCAAGGACACCTTGAAGTGGACTGCTTGGTCATCAAAGAGTGCTTTAGTCTCAATGTTTTGGCAACATTTCACTCTGGGCTTAAGCAATCTCGCCTACCAGAAGTCTCCACCTTAAGCCTCTGAATTAAATTTGCGATGTAATTTCTCACTTCTCCACCTGATCCATTTAGTAAAGGGGTGCATAACAGCTGTTGCACTTCACCCAAGCATGTGCTGCACGTTAGCGGTGGATGAGGTGGGAAGAAAAGTGCATTCTCTTATTTCCAGCCTTTTACTATCTTAAAGACTGATGGAAAATTAATTAAAGAGGTAAAAAGGTGGGGGGATTGTGCTTCTACATTTGTGACTTGTTCTGCTGTAGTGGTGTCATTTGTCTAGGAGGTGCATTCAATCTTTAGAAACTAGATTCTACATCCAAGCCAACTTACATTGGTACTCAAGGCATTGTACCTTAGCAATCAGAATGAAGAACCAAGAGAATAACAAGTGTTTCTGCTAGGTTTTGAACCTATGATCTTTCAGTTATGAGTCAATAACCATAGCCACTGCACAACACTGCAACTAAAAGAAATGCCACCATGAGCACAGCAATAAAATAAAAGCAACACATGCATGTACTGTATCGCATTTAACCACAGCTGGAGACATTTAAACTGACATTTTAGTCATGTGTTCCCCAAACACATGCTATAAACTAAGCGCTGTACAGCACCATCATATGATACAATAATACTTTTTTTATCAGATTTCTCAGAACTTTGTTTTGCATCCAAGCAGCTACAGTATGAGTCTTACAAAAACAAAAAAACAACACAAACATAAACATTACATTAAAATAAATATAATGTTACATAAAAGACATCAACCCCTACTTAGTCATTATGCACACTGCCTACAGGAATCCACATAGTTTAGCAGACCCTAAACTTTAATTCCCCCATAATCACTCTTAAGCCCCTGTAATTGCACAATACCTACTTGTTTTTGCATCATCAGAAAGAAAACATGAAAGTTAACAAGAACAAGATTGGTCTAAAAAAGTAACCCCATCCTCTCTTCTGGTACAATCACCAGCTTCTGAAAGACAAACCACGTACCTCTCCTTTCTCATTAATTTACATTACAGGCTATGGGTGGCAATAACTTCAATGGTAATGTAAATGTGTGGTTGAAATACAAATGGGTATATAATTGTGGCTGTGTGTTTTTAGCCAAAACTGCTACAAGTTCTTAAACCGCAAACATTTTGTTTTCCAATATATTCACCTCTATATTTAAAGGTGGCGGGATGTTTTGTGAGACCACATGCAGATAAAAAGACACCAGATCAGCAATAGATGAAGTGTGCAACTTTAGGAGGGTCTCCTGTGCTTTTTAATGGAGAAACACTGACACTAAATAGGAGAAACACTTACCTGTATACTGAAGTAGAACCAACAGCAATCGTGCCTTCACCTCTGAAATACACACAAGAAAACAATTTGGTTCAAGTTAAAAAAGAAACAGCTAATTAGATGCAATCAAACATCTGATTCACATAGCCAGATTCAGATTACAAACCTGGTACTGTATGTGACAGGAGGTTTTTTTTGTATTTTCCTTCTACCCAATACAATGTCATCATCAAGTACTTGGTTAGCAATTTGCGGCTGGGACTGTAGGTGGGTCAAAGTTGTGATTTAATCTGACACTTATGTTTATGTACTGTAATTTCCTGAACTGAAATCCCAAATAAAAACACCTACTACATGTCAAGACCTTTGATGGCATTGGGTTTTCCAATATTATTTGTTTTCCTTGGATAGGGTTAACCTACTTTTTTCACATGCTTAAAGAGACCAGAATAGCAATCCAGTTTGCATATAGAATATAACCAAATGGCATTGTGCTGCTTCTAAGAAACCTATAATTCAAATCAAATCTCTTCTTGGTAATACTAAGATTATCTTTAGTTCTCTGTTCAATTACCAGCTTTTCCACTGTGGAAAATCTTCCCTTAAAATCCTCCCTTGTGTAATTAAGCCAAAAAATTACCACAATTGTACTTTTTACATCAAATCTACAAAATTATTCAGAAATTAACCTATAATTCACTCTAAGTAATGGTCTCTGCTAAGGTGGCGTTAGTAATAGTCATAATCATAATATAGATAGACACTTTATTGTCCACTGCTGTGCAAAGAAGATTTTCTTTTCAGGTTCCATCATACTTTACTTTTAAACATTATACATATGACTCTCAAAGCATATTAGTTCTTTCATTGTTATATTCCCTTTGATAGCAGCTACTGCATAAAAAATGTTAGCTTGTGAGTTTGGTTGCTATTTAATTTGATTTTCTTTAGAACTAATTCAGTACAGACACATGGATTGAATCTGAATCAGGCAAGTGATCTACAAAACAGTTCCCCACAGTTCAGTGTGACCCCTTGTGTACACTCACTTAATTCCTCTACCATAAAAGAACATAACAAAAGTTACAAAAGACGGGTTGCCATTCAGCCCATTTGGTAGTTAGTAATGATACTGAGAGGATGAGTTCCAAAATGTATTTAATGCTTCTTGGTATACCTGTAGTTCACAAACTATGACGCACTATATGGAGCCTTGTGCCAAAATACCATCTGTGAACGGCAATCAATTTAATTATATGATTGATTAAAAAAAAACACTGTTATAAAATTTTGGAACTGCACTCTGTTCTTTTAAAAATATCCTGTCCCTTCAAGGACACTGGCATACAGTACATTCCCTCAAAAATCAAATTAAATCAAAACCACATGAAAAACAAATTGTTTCTTCCCCTATACAGGCCCTGCTTTCTGAATTAAATTCAATTATTGTAGAAAAACAATGCAGTTATTTTTAGTATAGATCTTAAGGCACTATAAAAAACCATGAATAGATTTGCAACGAAATTGAGTATAATAAAATAAAACTCTCAGAATGGGAAAAAAAATAAAATGCAGACATGTATCATGTAAAAAATAAAACACTTTAATGTTATGAGTTGCAGAAATGCCAATGAATGCTGAGCGTGATCCCTACTGCATAATTCGTCATCGTTCATCTGAAACCAAACAGTGCTCAGCTATTGTATATTATCTGATCCCTCTCTTTTGTTATTTGAGTCTTTTCTCAGAAAGCTATCCCTAAAAAATGGATTAAAGATATAAATGAGGAAAGTGCCTTAGTGTCGGTCTAACTTGTATGAAAGTCGTTAAACTGCTAAACCAGTTTACTTTTCTTTACTCACATTAAAATGTGATTCATAACACCCAGAGGCCCTATTCTTAATAAAGGTCACCCTTCGAGTGGTTTGGAATTTTTTTGTATTCGGCTGAATGTATTCTTGGAACTGACCTTCAACAAACTTGGCGATGGTCTGCGTTAGGCTCTGGACACTGCTGGGGAGATTCCAAGGATCCTGTTTGATGTGAAGCCGGAGTTTCTTGGTGCAGTTGACCTTAGGCTCCATCTCTTGCTGGAATTCTGTGCAAAATACATCACCCGATAGCGAAGGTTCATAAGAACAGCCATGATTTTTTGGCCAAGATGAGGCAGCACTCATGAACCCCTTCTCAATACATTTGTTTCAATTACTACTGTATGTAGTAAAATCCCTTTCAGATATGATTGTGCACTCGGGCTCTTATGTCTATTTCCGATAGACAGTTCTGAATTCTTCCATTATCATACTGCTCAGCCCACTAATGGCCTACCAGTCACCACCCTCTTAATTGTAGGTTTGCTCAGTGAATCCACAACCAAACTGAACAAATGGTTCAGGTCCTGTCACTCTAAATGCCATTTTTATATCTTCTTGCATACTTAATAAAAAGGTGTATTATGATGATGCCAAACACACTGATTAGTGCAGAACATATGATAATCAGTTGTGTGCTGAACAGCAAAGGAGATGTTGTAGGAAAAAAGGTTTGTTTCACTCTTTCCACTAAGAGATATGAATGTCCTTCTGTTTTTTCACTTGTAGGTCCTTTGAAGCCTGGCTCTCAGTGGCATGAGCCACAAGTCCTTTTTCAATTATTGCTGTTTTCATGTAAATGAGAGTAATTTAGCACATCATACTAACAACGTTGGGGCCCCAAGTTCAAATCCTGGGATGCTGTCTGCGTAGAGTTTGTACGTTCTCCTTGTGTTCGCGTGGATTTCCTCCAGATACTCCAGTTTCCTCCCACAATTCAAAGATATACTGGTGGATTAATTGGCTTCTAGAAAACTAGGTACTGGTTTGAATATGTGTGTTTGTGTCTGTGTGTGCCTTGAAATGGACTGGTATAACGTCCAGGGTGTATCCTGCCTTGTGCCGAGATAGGCTCCAGAACTCTCATAAAGCCAGTATTGGATAAAGCGGTTTGGAAATGAATGAATCAATGGATGGATGGATGGATGAGAGTAATTTAGTGAAAACAATGACGGAATGCAGGCAACTCAGGTTTAAAATATTCTAAGATTAACGTGACGCCAATGCCACATTGGTTCTAAAATTATGAGCTTCATAAAAATTAAAAGACCCTATCAGACAGAGTCAGTATTGTACCGCACTCTCCTTCCGGTGTCTCTCTGTCTGGGGCTATATATTTCAGGGTCACTTATTCCTCCTCGCTCAGCATTGACTTTTGGATGTCCCGAGACCCGCCTAGCACCAGGCCGCCGCTTCGTCCGTGGCCTGAGGGCACAAGTTTCTATACTTCCCGAACTCCTGCACGGCTGAGCCCGGGCTAAATCCCATCCCGCCGCTACACATAGGGTCTTTTTCCGCTCTCCTGCCATTCTACGGTTCGTCCCTTCCAACATACGTGACACAGGTACACAGGTTTTGGCAAATTCATCTCCGCTTATTCTTTATAACCAGATTCTGGCAACTGCACAGCACACTGAACAGTGAAGACTTTTCACTTAAGAAACCTGCTATATATTCTCTGCAGGTGACCTTACCAAGATAAAGGGACTGTATCTGCTCATGAGATTACCTTTAAGGCCTGTTTAAACTATTTTTAAAAAATCAATTTTTAGATTAAATCCATCTGGGACGTTAGACAAAAACATAAAACAGATTCAATAAGCTATGAAATCTGCTGCAAGAGACAGAGAGAACATGCGGAGGATTAAGTTATCTCAACACATGGGCTAATTTATAAAGCCTTCATCTTGCCAGTACAGCACTGGCAATTTAATAAAGTTCTTGAGAAAATGTAGTGCCTGTAAACTTTGTTTAGACCACACAGTTAGGGTAATGCTGAAATGTAGAAGCCTTTGTAAGTTTTCTGTTGTTATACATTAATTCCCGTCTGTATACTGTATTACCAGTGTTTTCCTTATGTAGTTAAAGTACGTACAATAGATAAAGGTGAAATCCCTTAAACAATATCCTCTGAAATACAAGTTGTATACAGAAATGGAGGAAAATCATGGTAAAACTTAACGTGAATGAGATTCAGAAATATCATCATAACTATTATATAAAAAATACACAACACCCAATATAGCTATTTGCATAACAGTTATATTAAAATCATTTAAGCTCATTACATTACAGACACTACAGACTTATTCATATCAGATCATAACGAGAAGAATTCAGCCAATCAGAGGGAGACATGAGTCAAGTAAAATCCCATTTACTGTATAACCACCCTTTAGTTAGTTGTTAACACCCTTTGAAGGAAGGCACCTTTAAAGGACTTGAGAGCTGACAAGCAATTTCTGCAGATAACAGAGGTCCTGGTATGCTTCTGTGAAATTACAGTATATTTTGCTATGTGCTCGTGTTGTGTTATGAATGGTTATGACTGTGTGTATTTGTTTACCCTATACCAGAACCAATAGTCATCAAGTCATCAAACACAATCTGCATTTCTAGCCCAAATGATACCCAGTTTTGTCTAAAGCTCCATCATGTTTGTTTTGAACTTTGAACTTGTTTAGGCCAGATCCAGTGTTAAAGTCCCTATTGTCCTTTCAGGTGTGACAGAATTGCAATATTCTGAGACAAGCTATAATTAATAATTTTGCCACGTCCTGAAACATTTAGAATGCATCTGAATTTTACTCCCTATGAATCAAATTTCTGCCAAACAATTTGTTTAAAATTTCAGGTTAATAAAATTAATCAATTATCACCTATCACCTGTTAAATAGACTTAAATACTGTAGTCTTTAGAATGTTTTTTTTTACTTTCTGGTTTTCCACAACTTAAAATTACAAATATATTTATCCAGGTATCCAAAACTAGATAAAATATTTTCTTATTAGAAAGAAATCTGCTTATAAATAACTTCTAAAGTTGAAGAGTATAAAGTAATACAACGTTTACAGTAAACAATTATGTTTGACATTTGAAACAAATACATTTTCTGTTCATCTTCATTTCTTCTATTATTTATGTCCAATGTAAATATCTATTGGTTGTTATCTGAACAATGTGTTTCCTCACTGGACCACAATAAGTTCTGAAATACACAAAGAAGAAAAGAAGGTCTACGAAGGATATGTAAATTCCTTTTATGTAGGTCAGATTCTTTAAACTTCTGTTTCAGCAGCATAAATTATAAAAATCAGCCTTCATTTTTGAAGCAGCTCAATAAATCTAAACATCTGCTTTTATTTGCAGGCTTTTTTTAGAAGTCTGATTCCATCAGGAGTGAGGAACTCTTTTTTTTTTATTTGGAGGAAGACCGCTGTTTCCAAAGTGGAATTTTTTTAGCACAGAGAGTACCTTATTTTGAAGTACAAACATTTTTATCTAAAAAGAGCTAGCCATTTTGAAATCATATAGCCAACAACTCAGACAAACACATCAGAGGCTTTTGTCTGCAGCTGTGCTGGTTCTTCATATTTATCTTTAGATTTTTGCCTTACAGAAGAGTAAAGGTGGGGGAGTCCGTTTGAATAAATGAATAAATTTAACATTTTGAATGGTGATGCATGTATAGAAAAACTGTTATTTGAGTTACCATATCTCTGAAAACAGGTGTCTGCTGGCATTTTACCTTGTAGGCCTCGGCCTGGAGTGAAGCACTTTGTTTGCTCAAAGACTCGAGCTACAACCACACCCTTCAGTAGACTCATTATAGACTCAACCTGGGAAGCAAGCAAAATGGGACATTCAGAAGTTCGGTCTAATTTTTATATCGACAAAATGTGACGATAAAAATACAGTAATTTCCTCAGTCTCTTGGCTGAGGAAATGACAGTACTGCCTGAAGATCAGCACTGTCACAACCCTAACTCACTTATGAAGAATGAGCCAGGGAGGCAGCTGCAATGATGAAGTTGAGGGTGGAGGGAGGGGAGCTAGAAAAGATGTGCGCAGAGTTGTGTGCAGCCAGGGAGTATTTATACTGTATGTAGGGGAACGGAAGTGCAACATTAGAATTTGACCTCTTCCCAAACTTAAATAAACACAATTTGGGGCTGAAACAGATTGATTTTCAATCTTTAGATCATGCTGAAATTGTTTACAAATGCGACAAATTTTAAAATACAATAATCAATCACATTTTAAAAATTAATCTAGGTCAAAGCTAGAACCATAGCAAACATTTGAAGATGACCAAAAACATTTAGCAGCATGTTATGGTTAAATATTTTATTCCCAATTGAAAAATGTCCTTGTTAAATGTTTTCAAAGCAAATATTTATGGGCCCCAGGACTCAGAGAGCATGAAACGATTAGACACCATTTAAAATATTCCTTCTTTCTGTTTCTAATAAAAGTTTATCTAAAATTGAAATAGAACATTTTAGGTCTCTAGTCATCATAGAAACAGAGGTAAAAGATATTTAGAATAATCTAACAGATTTTGGCTTGAGAAAAATATATCACTTTGGATATTTCACAATATCTTACTATTTCAGGCAAATAATAAAAAATACAATTAATTTAATGGTTTTATCTTAAAATGATATTGAGGCTAGGTTTGGGGCATTCTTAAATGCAAAAGAGGTACCACAACTGCAACATATTTACAATTTAAGTGTTAAATATTTAAAGTATGAAACTTGAGGAATGTGTCTGTCAGTATGTTTTAATTGTATTCCATTATAAAAAAATAATAGCTTATAACTACTATATTCTTAATGAAAACACTCAATGATACACATACTGTACCTGGCTAAAGAGATGTTCTAGAAATCCATGTAATTTCTTTTGTTTGTCATGAGAAATCCATACGTTGACCGGCAACTCATCTCCTTTTAGAAAATGGAGAACAAACAAGTTTTTAGGTACACAATGACCAAGACAGCACCTTAAAGAGTCATTTAGTTGGTTAACTAACAAGACACTACTTCAGGATCCAAAGCCACACTCAATAAGCTCATCTAAGATTTTAAAGGGTTGGAGTTGCTCTATTTTCCCAGCTATTTTAATGGCAACATACTTTTAGAAAGATTCACAGCTCAGTTGCTCCCAGCACTGGCTGTCATGATATCAGAGTGGGATAGTGTTATTGATGAAATACCACTGTGATGTACAGTAATGTTCTGGAAGGTTCTGGTTTATTGTCCTTCGCTATAGTTGGTACTGCACTTTATTTTGTGATATTTTTTATTCTGTGTATTTTATAATATACTGTATTAGCAGGGATTACGCAACTGTTATGCAACCTCAGGGTTGGAGTTTAAATTTGATAATCAAAACAATTTTTTTCCAGTGATACAGTAAATGGGGCATTTGGCTATCTGGTAAGAACAGAGCTCAGTTATTGTGTCACTGCACCCTTAAATATTCAATCTTAATGTCCGATTGAGCTGGTATTGTCTGTGCTATTAACAGACTTCTAGATAATGAACCTACACAAAATTTAATAAATGATGACACCACCGTCATTATAACTGCAAATCAAAATAGAAATAACAGTTTATGGAAATGTTAAATTACACAAAGTGTACTATCCCTTAATATTATCAAAATGAACAGCGAATCAAGAATCATATGGTACAAGTGGAAACGGAGTTAAAAGTTCATTTGAAACAAGGAACAGGATGCACTTAATTACACAAAGTGTTGTTGAAGCTGGCTTCCTTCAAGAAATGGCTGGAAGAGATACTTGGATCAACTTACTACTAAACTGACTAAATGGACAGAGTGGTTTCTCATTTGTAACCAGTTTATGTTTTTTATGAGGCACACGAGGTTTCACTATTTAAAAGATAAACACTGAGAAACCCACCGAATGAAGGAAATAATGTAATATTTTATTTTAAATAAAACTGTTCTAAATTCAGCATACATACTCTTTACAATAATCAATGGGATATTTAAAAAAGTGAAATACTTTAGAAGAGCGGTAGTTAAGCCAGAAAGGTTTTCACTGACACCTTACCCTGGTTCTTCTCAAACATTTAATAAGCACAGTCTAATAAATCAGAGCCGAGAATAGAAGCTCCTCTCTAGTGTAATAAACACTCAGCATGCAAGAACACTGACTGGATGACTTTCAAAGCCTTTTATACCAACGCAACTCATTTTCAAACTTCACATCAACTTCAAGTAACTCTGCTTTCATTAAATTTTCAAATAAAAATTTGTTTTCTATGCCTGTATTGAGTGGCACATGTAAGGGTTTAGGAAACGTGGACAACATCTGACTCGGGAACAAAGAAGCTCTGAAAATCATCCTGCAGGGTGTCTCTCTTCACAACTGGACCACTGGGTCCATTTTGCCCACAGAGGGCTTCATTAGGAGGGCTTTACCTGAGTCCATCTCATCACTGTGGACGTATGAGCTGCAGTGGCTGCTGCAGATGCTAGTGAAGGAGGCTATTGAGTTCCTGTTACTGTTACAGTCACTGCAATGAAGGAAGAAAAAAACACATTCTGATATTCTGTGATTTCCCCCACCTTGCTGCAGTACAGTTAATACTGTAAATGTTTATGCTACTGCAGTCAAACCACAGAGTAATCAGCTGTATTACAAATTAATTTACTAAATGTGTAAAAGCACACACTCGTGTTTTTCACATGTGCAGGTCTTTCTGTAAAACTTTGTGCATTATTGAATCAAGAAATGTCTCAAAGGTCTATTTTTATACCTGACTTTCTTGAATGAGACATTATCTGAAAAATACCAAGGACTCTAAAGGCATCCTGTGATGTCAGTGAGAGATGTGCTACGGCTCCAATCACCTCTACCTCTCCTGTCAGGCACTGTGGAGCTTGCATTGTGTCAGACAAACAGAGAACTTCACTTGTCTGACTCATTTTTATCCTGAGCTTTGCCCTGAGCTAGTGAGTACATGAATAAGACAAGGCTATTTCTTAAAACAGCTAAAGATGCTTTTAAAAAGGCATAGAAATATGCAAAAGATTGATTGAAATATGAAAAGATTGATTTTTGGGGGGAGTGAAGGGGGTACAACAGAAGAAATCCCACTTCCACATAGACTGGAAGAAACAAATCTATTTGAATGTTTACCAGGCCAGTATAATATATACAAACTGCATATTTCCAGCTGATTGGGCATAGACCCAGTGCATGATTTTAAAAGAAAAGGAGTGTAACCCTGGCGTCCTGGCCAAAACCACCCCTGGCCTTTACCAGTCATAGCCTCCTAATAATCCCCGTCTATGAACGGGCTTCATCACTCTGCTCTCCTCCCCACTGATAGCTGGTGTGTGGGGAGTGTACTGGCGCACTATGGCTGCCGTCCCATCATCCAGGTGGGGCTGCACATTGGTGATGGTGGAGGGGAGTCCCCATTACCTGTAAAGCGCTTTGAGTGGAGTGGCCAGAAAAGTGCTATACGAGTGAAGTGTAATGAATTATTATTAGAAGTAGGAGAAGTAGTATTAGCAGTAGAATTAGTATGATTATATCTTGTGCAGACAGGGCGTGGCTGCAGGGTTACCTATATGAGTCTCGGTTGCTGATGGTGTCGTGACCCGAGTCCTCCTGCTCGTCCCCGGCCACGTTGAAGCAGACCTTCTTGCCATTGCGCTCGCCCTTCTCGCCCTCGGCGTCAGCGGTGATGTAGGCCTCCGGCGTCTTCGCCTCTGTCGCTGGGGGGTGGGTGATGGAGGAGAGGAGGCTGCAAGAGAGGAACAGAAAAATGGACTCGGCATTCGAAACGACATGGGATAAACCAGCAAATGAATGACTCAGCAACTTCTACTCCCACATTATTAACCAGGTACTTCACCTTATTTGCTCCCAGCTGTCACAGGGGAGCATTTCCTGGGGGGGTAAAACAGTATAACCTGTTTACGTGGAGATGTTAGGTATTATTGGTTTTGCAAGCTAAGATAGTACCTAAACTACCACACTATGATTATCAGGAGAGATTTTCCACGCTTCTCAAGACTCTCAGAAGTCTTTCTGACAATGCGACAAAATCTCATGGATCATCGCTTTGACAAAGGATTCATCTTAGATATGTCAGCCCGCTGGTAACAAAGAAGACAGTATTTGGCGGACTGGCCAAACAAGTGCGACAGAACAAGGAGATTTCCACTGTTACTATCACTAGGCGTGCCTTCATTTGGATGAGCATTGGGTTGGGAAGGTATCAGAACATCAGGGTGGTCCGTTCCCAACTAACTCCTTTAATAACTCACAGTTTCATCTCCAGGCTCCCCTGCAACACAACCAACTAAGGAGAATTGGCCATTGGCCAGACCAAATCTCTGAAGAGCGAATTCACGAATGTTAAAGTCACAGATGTCACGACCCTACTGTATACAGTATACACTATTTAAATTAGCAGTTTACATCTTGAAAGATCCAAAAGTACTTTACAAGTAATAATGGATTCATAGAACCCTCCCCCCCCAAACTGAGATTCAGTTCTTATTAAAGTGATGTGCAGCCATTTTGTGTCTGAGGCACATGGGAAACTAATGACGTTCTGAAAACCCTAATACCATATAGAGCTGTTCAAGCTCAGTCAGTTTGCTTGCACAGCTCTGTAAGGAGGAATGGGCAAACACTGCCAAATGTAGGTGTTCTACAGTACGTTGGAACAGGCCTACCCAAACAGAACTATGGCTGTAATTCAAGCAATAGATGCTTCCACCAAGAATTAACTCAAGGGTGTGTACACTTATCCAATCCATTTTTCTAGGCTTTCATTTGTATTGACTTTTTAGAATGCCTGAGCATTTGTTTTTCACTTGGAGACTGTGTGATACAATGTGTAAATAAAGCTCAAATAAATTTATATTTAATGTGTTGTGATTTTAGGCCACACAATAAGTTAATTTGGAGAGGGTTGTAGACTTTATCATAAGCTCTGTATATGTTCATTTTACTCAGTGCATCAAATTATAAATACAATTTAAAATAAGTACAAATCTAAAGTATGTCTGGTTTGTGTTTGCATTTTACTCTAAAGTCTTTGTTATTACCTGTACAGAGTGTACCTGACAAAACACACTGCACTGTAATGTGGTTAAGCATAAAGGTTATAATAAGGTTAAGCAGTAAAAGTGAACAAAAACTGAAAGTTTATATTGGGGAAATTAATTTAATGAAGTGTTCACATATTCAAAACAGATGCTCTATATTCTAGGTTGCAATAATCTTTATACATCTGAAACCTACTAAATAAACAGGTGGCACTTCTGGTTGCAATAAAAAGTAATTATTATTTTCAGTATGTTTACAAGTCTGTGATTCAGCCCCAGGCTCAGATGCAACTTACTCAACTGCTGCATGAAATAGACTCTTTTTCCGTATTGATGAAGAAAAATGTTATAAGGTATGATATTGATCCCTGCTTAAGGTTAAATGGAGATTTATAACATTGTTCTGAGAATCAATTTTCAGCATAAAACATTCAATAATAACACATCATTTTAAAAACTAGAAATATCAGTGATCAGTCACCCAAACCCACCGTTGAGTGGACTGTTCTAATTGCACCTTACCACCAGGGACTTAGTAAAAGCCACAGTACCTACCACCCCAGCTGCCACTCCATTTTAGGCATTACCTACTGTAAAATCCCATATTGTCTTCAACTTACCAACCAAAAAAAAACCTAAATTTGGAGACAATTCTGACACATCTTAAAAGTTTTTTAAGAGTGTACTGTACATATAGCCTATACTGCATATTTTTAAGTGTTGGCAAATATGCACCAGATATTGTTCCCAGGCAATGAAGTGAAAGATGCATGAGATGTGGCTCGGGGATATGATGACATCGCACACAGCTCAGGAGAAGGCAGGGGATGTCAGTTCAGCAGGTACGAGACAGTGAGAAGTTCAGGTTCAACATCAGCAATGAACAGACAGTGATAAATGTGCACTGATATTAAGATGCTAAATTCTGATAGTTGTACTCATGGTGTTTTAGTCTGATTTACTGTTTATAGATGTGAGTTACGCATCATTGGGTAATATGGACATGGATAGACAACTGAGACTATGGTTGAACCATAATAGGCTAATTGACAATCCTTTGATATCATTTTTTGTTCTGTCACTCCTAATTATACTTGCATTTTGGTGGACAAATGTAGACAAACAATCAAGTGTATTATGTGTTTTAATAGTACATCTTAAAAATGGCACCATCATACAGTAGGTATCCCTGCCACCCCCAAATCTCAGCTACACCACTGCTTATCATAAAGAAAATGATCCCACAGCATTTTGCTGCCATTTGTTGTATCATCTAACATCACTAGTAATTTCTTTTAACATACAGAATTAGAACATAATTTTTCGATTTTAAAAAGACGACATATGTATTTTCAACATATTTTAAATGCATCTTCACTGCATTTTAATAAGCAATTTTCTAAGATCCTGGTAGAATTTCGATACCCTATATTTAGAGAGACTGAGGCCACTGTAGTATCTCTGTAGACTCTACGGTGGCAACTGTAAGAATGTACAAATGTTAACACCATTCTGTCATTTTAAACAATCACATCCTTTTATAAGAATAATGAAATCTCTTTACACCCCATCAGCGTGTTGCAAGGTTCTTCATAAGTCATTTTACCATGTGAAGCAGATTCATGAGATTTGAAAAAGCATTTGCAGCTCTGTAATAACCACTTCGGGCAATTAACACAGAATGAAGCTGGGAACCCACATTTTCAAAGGGATTAACTGTAGAAGAAAATATGTTAATGTCGACTCTGACACTTGAAAAGCATGCTAATCGAAGCATCCTGGGTGGTCAAAGAGCAGCTAGCCGCCTCACGATCCCAGTTCGAAGAGAGGTGTGATCAGATTAACAGTCCCAATAGCTCCAAAACACATGGGCTCAAAAGACAAGCAACAACAGTCATCTGGCATCAGCAGCTGAGAGCCTGAGACAGTCTGCAAGGAAAACGCCACAGCTGGCATACAGTACTTGGTGCTAGGGTGGATTCCTTGTCACATATGGAATATGTCATCTAGTCTCATTAGCAGAAAGGAATTACAAATAAAACATGTAGCACAGCGTGCTGTAAATGTCTGTGTAAAAGAGCAAAACAAAAGACTGACAAACTGACAAGTACTGTAATATCTTCTCAAATGAACACTCAGGAGGGAGCAGAGAAAAGGCCCCAACCACTTATGTACTGTAAGATGCCAGAGCTTCAGTCTATACTCATAACAACAAACTGCGTTAACACGTAACAAAAAGTGACCAGTTGTTCGAGATTCTCTTCACTGTCATAAAACCTAATTCAAATAAAAATCCTTCAAATAGTAACAATTGCAGCCAGGATCCCCCCAGAGGCTCTCAGTCAGCACTCTGAAGATCAATAGCACTCCTGGGTTGTCTTCGAATTAATGTTCATCTTCACCTTGTACACTCGTCACAGAAAGAAAATGAATGAAAGCCTTGGAAAACCTAATCGGCAGAATGCCACTCTCGGTACCACGATCTTATGGATTACCGTGCATGTTTATTGCTTTTTAACATTGGTGTGAACTGCTGCTCTCAGCATTCTTCGAACATCTGAAGGACAATGAAGCCATCGCTGGTGCCTAGAGAATTCAGCGTTGGGCACAGCGAGGCCTTCAGAGAGGGGACTATTGATTGTTCTCAAGGGCAACACCAGTTACACTCCAGGGCAGGCACTTAAGAAGCTTTGATTACTTTGGGTTGAACTGAGTGCGGACTCGGAGCTGGAACAGTTCAGTTTCACCAACATGTAATCATAAACCAGATGAAAGTTCTTTCCTTAGCAATCAAGAAAAACATGGATTCAACCCAGAAAGGTCACAATGAGCCGTCAATTGTCTAACTGGAACACGATATCAACTCAGTGTTTCGATGATTCAACAGTAGTACACTAGGGGAAAAGGATGCCAGCTACATTTGCAGGTTAACATTCCTATCAATTCACAGGTTGTCTGATGTACTGTATGTCACATTTATTGTCCCAGCTGCACTTGAATATTCAAGCTCTTTTCCCACATTTTACTTATTTCACTGGAGAAGTATCTCAGGCAGGATCACTCTGCACTGTATACTCCCATTAGCATTGACAACGTTTCCAAATGAAGAATAAGCAAAAGTCTGTAAAAAACACATTTTGCACAACCACTAAAGTATTAAAATATAAGGATGACACACAACAAAATATTTTTCGGGTTTGCTTATGTGACTCATGCATTATTACTGTGAGGGCAACAAATCTTTACCATTTAAACACAGAACATGTGTCTTACTTGCACTACTATATTCCTATGGTATGTGTAAAGCCCTATGAAATTCACAGTTAAATCTGAATAGCTTGCTCAGCATCTTTTAAAAAGTCTGGTGTGTCAATCAAACCACTACAGAGAAATTTATCTGAATAGTAATGTATCAATACAACAGCTTACCACTCATTACAAAGCACCCTTACAATAGACGTATATCAATTTTGCATTAGATGTAATCACAAAAAGATCAGTGTACTGTATCTACAATAGGCTATTTAGTCTAAAACAGCCAGCAGTCATATCACTTTGCAACTCACTACTGGCAGCCCACTGAAGCTCAGCAGGTGTGAGCCTGGTCAGTACCTGGATGGGAGACCTCCTGGGAAAAACTAAGGCTGCTGCTGAAAGAGGTGTTAGTGGGGCCAGCAGGGGGGTGCTCACCCTGTGGTCCATGTGGGTCCCAATGCCCCAGTATTGTGATGGGGGACACTATACTGTAAAAAGGCACCGTCCTTCGGATGAGATGTAAAACAGAGGTCCTGACTGTGGTCATTAAAAATCTCAGGGTGTCTCTCAAAAAGAGTAGAGGTGTAACCCCAGCATCCTAGCCAAATATTTAAGAACTATTAACACCCAATAAATTATGATCACTGAAATCATACTAATGAATTTTTCTAATAAGCTGAAATAAATAAATAAATCTGAGAATAAAAGTAAAAATTCAAATAATGCACATTGTGTGCTGCAAGCCTGTGTGACTGTACACCCTTTTCATTTTCTTCCCTTTTGTGCTAGGAGCCCCTCAAACCAGCAACCTCCTATTAAGTACCCTGTTGTCCTGCGCAGCGGGAATGTGCTCTGCAACAATGAGGCCCTCTGCAGAAATAAACACAGCCAAAGATGTTGCCAGGACACAGAAATACAGTTGAACAGGTGGCAGAGCAAATGTAAACCAGTAAAAATAATATCTATAATAACATAACAAGTGTTTATTTGTTAATAAAATATTAAACCCATATGACTCCTATGCCATCTTAAGGACATTTGTAGTGATCTCACAAATTTGAAGATGTGATGGCGGAAATTACTGTGCACAATACTCTATAAAATGTGTTGTAAGGCTTTATATAATATTTTCATTTAGGATTTTTTCATTACAGTGTTTGCTGGCTTTTGATAAAAGTTCAAGGATTCAAATTGTGATAAAAAATATTCATTTTGTAAAAAATGTGTAATCTGTATATCATTTGTAAATATAATAAAATGCATCATCATCCTAAGGAAGTGAACACATTTTGTGAGGTACTATAAGTTGGATCACTACACTAGTAATGTCAGGGTTTTCACTGATAATTTGATTTTTAAATAAGGTGTTAAGCTACACAGAAGTTCTAGAATAATCTAATATAACAATGTTTTGTTAAAGACACCGAAAACGCACACAGAAGTCAGACAATGCAACCACTATAATTTTAAATGTAAGGATAAAAAAATGCCAAACAAACCAACGTAAACCAGGAATTCCTTCATCCCTTTCACAAGAAAGAAAATCCCTTTCTGTCCACATTCGGCACAAAATAAAGAAGGAAAATTATGTCGTCACAGAAAAATCCTTTTAACCTCTGGCACATCACAAAATATATGCTGATGTCTCAATGTTTAAATTATTTTGCCAATGGTTTTGCCAGCTCAAAAATAATTTTAAAAGCATAGCCTGAGGTTATGGTATCATCTGCTGCAACTTTAAGTAGTGACTGACAATCAAAGTAGAACAGGATATATACCACCCCTGGATCAAAGCACATTAAATGTCACTCTTTCCTCTGCACGCCTCTGTATTTAGACATTATTGAGCAAGAAATCCACACAGGAGAAGTATAAGAGCAACGATACATAAATCAAAGGGAAAACTCACATGTGGAACACTAAAGGAAAATTTCAAGACGTGACATATGTGATGATGCATTTGTGTATAACACAAAACCAGATATTAATATCTGCTCTTCCATATTTATTTTAATTTTTCTCAGGTACCAGAATTTCTCAGTATGGTATAAACACTGCTTGATAAAAAAGGTTGGGTATGCACATCACATACAGTACCTTTTATTTCTATACCTGGCTGTGAAGCAGAAGTTCTGTTGACAGTTAACCAATAAACATTGTATTGTGAAATTGTAAATGTGCCCATCATGCAATTTGTTCAAAAGTGTTTGCCAATTTATAGGTAGTATACTAGTACTAACAGGATGAATGTAAAAAGGAGCTCCTTGTGTAAACCAAGATAGCAGCCAAACTGCCATTGTTTTTTTCATTGTTGATATATGGCCCGTAACACTAACTTCTAAACCTCTATTTACAACTACTTGGACTATTAACTCCAAATGTGATCAGTAACATGATAGTGTCCAAACCATTAACAAATGTCACACTGTGGTTTATGTGCATCATACCAAGATAGCTACAAATCTGACATTTTGTTCTCACATCTAAAAGGGCCTCTGGGGAACTGCTCTCCCAATTGAATTGAAACTTTGTAGGTTTCCTGAACAGCCAAAGCTGCTTCCGATTTGCACCTGACTAGTAGCTGTAGATACATTTCTCACAGCAGGTTATCGAGGGTTTGGTGAAACATGGCACCGTGAGCAAGCAGCTCATGTTCAATGACCTGATTATTGCCATTTTATTCTCACAACTTAGTTCATTGCAGACTGGGGAAGGCTTGAACTGACTGAGTGAAATCTTGGCACATTTCATCACACTTAAACCTGCTTCAGACCTCAGCCTCAGGTGTTGCAGTGAGATACTTTTTGTGCCCACAACAGTATATCCCCTGCTTAGTGAAACACATGCCATACATGACTTCCAAAGTAAATAGGTGCCATTAATGTTTATCTGCAGTTCACTTGTACTGTCAAAATGGGAAGGACTTGCTTAGAAAGCCTTCAAAACAGATTGTAATTTCTTAATTGTAAGTTCTTAATTACTCTACTGTAACTGCAATACTTCCAATTCTTTTGACATTGAGGAGCTTGAGTTTCCCACAAACTGTGCTTGGCTAGGGCTCTTAAGGCCCAGGGAAGGAGGAGCACCTCTGTAGATCCTGAAATATGCAGCAGGGTCGGTTGTGGAGCCCGCTGATATACTGTACAGTAAAATGTCTAAACGTCTGATCAGCTACTCACTCGTGTATCTGACAGGCGTAGCACTCCATCTCCTTCACCACAGTCTGCAGCTTGCTGAGCAGCTTCTGGTAGGCGTCCAGGGTGACCAGGTCCTCCTCTCGTAGCAGGAAGCGCAGGCCGTGACCCTCTGCCCGCCCCAGGCTGTGACCAGAGGGGGCGGCCATGGTGGTGATGGTGTGCTGGATGTAAACCATGGGGTTTAACTTCCCTGTTCAACACAATACATGACATGACATGTTATGCGGCAGGCCAGCTTCAGCTTTGACTGTGCAAGCATGAGTAGTACCACCAGGGACCCTTAACGCCTTTCACAGAGCATACTGATTTGAATATCACTTTCCCTGTGGGCAAACCACTCAGTCCATAGACAATTAATCAGATGGCTAATTCGCCCAGTTTGCAATCAGAAATAAATCGGGCCCCTGGTCCTGCAGTAGCAGTTTGCATATTTACCTAAATAAATGTTGCTATTCATATTTAATACGCCATATGTTAATTAGAAAACTGCTATTTTAAGTCATTCTGGTACATTTTCTAGACCGTTTCTTCTCCCGGCATAATTATTTGATACACTTGAGTTTTTTTTCTCTTCGTGATAACACATTTACATGGATTTATTTGGATGATGGGTTCTATCCAAAATGACTTCCGTTTGTGTCCATACAGTATATACAGTTGTAAAAAGAAAGAATACATATGAAATTAGAAGCCTAGGCAACATAGAATCAGAAATTTTGATCCAATCATTAATCATGTAACCCAAAAACAGCAGTTACTTTTCTTTTCAATGTACATTCATAACAGTAATAATATTGTCTAATATTTTTGGGATTCACTTCATTTTCACTTAAAGATTAACTATTTATATTATTATTATGAGTCAGATGTTCTTTAAAATGTTTCTAATCAATATAAACATTTCCACTTATTTTAGAAAGGCGTTTCTTATAAACCATGCAGCACAGTGGCGCAGTTGTTAATCTTGCTGTCTCACAGCACTGAGGCTCTGGGTTCAGTTCCTGGGGTGCTATCGGCATATGGTTTGTATGTTCTCCCTCTGTTCTCATGGGTCTCCCCTGGGTGCTCTGGTTTCCTTCTGTACAAATGGCTCTGGTGTGTACAACTGAGTCTGTGTGTGCCCTGCGATGGACTGGCATCCCACCCAGGGTGCAGAGAATTCTGCCTTATGCTCAGTGCTTTCTGGAGTAGGCTCCAGGCCACCGTGACTCTGATCTGGATAAACGGTTATTGAAAGAGATGTGATGATGATGAGATGTTAACCCTTTGAGTGGTGATGACAGCACTTCACAGTATGTCAAAAGTCCAGTGGTCTCCTGGGAGTAATGATGGTATTGCATGTCCTAAAATATCGAACTACAGTTGCCACAATTACACCTTGATTATCTATGTTGAAAAAATATAGAAAGCTTTGACTTTGGTTGTCAAAATCATTTTAACAATGAATGCATAAGTATGGAAGCTAATTAGCATGGAAGCACTACTTGCAGTATTATTGCATTACCATGACATGACATTGTCTTATTTTACAATAATTATTGCTTTTCAATGAGAAAACATTGCTAACCTGTGAAGATGGAAAACACGATCTTACACAATGCAAATGCCTTGTGTGTCAATGCTTTTTTTTTGTTTTTACATATTTTTATGTCTGCATACTAAATGCACCACAGCAACATCGTGATACTGCATTTATGAGCACTGACTGCAAAATACCTCTTCGTGCAGAGAACGCCACATTGAAGCATTACTGTTTTAATTTAATTTAATCTATTTAATTGCATTGCTAATACACTACTAATGGAAAATGGAAAGAAAGAAAAAAACGCACACCAATGACACAACAAGCATTCTGTAACAATATTCGAATTCTGCAAGTTATACAGTATGTTCAAAATGTAATTTATTTAAAACATTGGTCCAGAAAACGGCATGTGATAAGAATATAGTAATTCAACTAATCTACTGTACTGTATATGTGAAAAACAGAATAACTAAACAATGTATGCTGTCCGATAAATGACTACCACAAAAAAGTTACAACACTCTATTATACAGTGTGCAGCAAATTTTCCAGCCAAAATATGGATATGGGCCTTTACTGAAGAACTGGATGAATGAACTCTAATGTATTGATTTCTATTTTAATAAGATAAAAACGTAAAAAATATACGTAAAAAATATGGAAATAGTGGAAGTGTGTAAAAAGTTGTTTAACAGATACAGGAGTTAATTTTACGAGCGTTTAAAAACTAATAAGATTATGACATAACAAAATCCCTGTAGATCACACGATTTATGTGTTCCAGAGTGAAGCTTGCTTTGGCCTTTGGGTTGGGCGGCTTCCTGTTAAATTTACAGGAAACAAGGTTCCACATGCCAGTGGTATAGTAGCAGGGTACTGTACATTCAAACATGCTTCCTTTTTTTTCATTACAGGGGAGTTAATTTTATAGTCCTGAAAGCTTTCGACTCCCTACAAATCAAACCAGAGGAGCTCAGTGTTCTGACAGTTCTGAACAGCAGCCTGGAGCAGCACCTTCATGAACGCACCATGCTGTGACACAGCTGCTGTGTCCTGTCCCTGTAGAAATCACGCTTTCCCCATCAAGGACAAATGAAATGACAAATGACAGGCATTATCTGTGAACTTCATGTCTAAACTGGCAGTAAGGGAAATACGGTATAATGTTCTTACTGTAGTAAGTTGGGAGCACAATAAATAAACATGGCAGTGCAATTAAATCAATACCAATATAGACTTTGGTAGCTCTCAAGGAGCCTATCAGTAGAATTAATCAAATGTCTTAGTGAATTCAACACACAAGAAAAATATATTGTTAGACATGAGTTCAATGTTGAATGAACACAATCAGTGGTACAGACACAGGTGTTAACTGCACGGTTTTTATGAGCTCTTATAACTTCAGTTTATGGCAAAACTGGTGCATATTCTTCATACACCAAACACCTGCGCACAAGCACCTGTGAAACCACTCTGAACTTGATATCCCCCTCATCCTAACTACGGAAACGGCAGTCCTCATTTCTATTTATTTAACAGTTCTTTTTCCTGTTTTTATTTTAATGGCTTTTGAAGACAATGTCAATCATACTGCAGTTACAGAAGAAAACAAACTGTATGGGTGGGCCACATACTGTAAGGATAGTTGTTTAGGCTTTTGCCAACCAAAGTGCCAATCAAAAGAGTGACAAGCAGGAACAGCATCAAGGACATCAAGTGGCTTCTCATTGTCTGAAAACCTATGAGCCAAAGGCATAGCACTGATGACCAAGACAGTTTCTCTTGTTGCCATAGAGAATCTTGCCCTTCTCACCTTGTTCTGCATTCTTGATCACTTTCTCTAGCGTGGAGTTTTTCCGGTTATCCAGCTGGACACCAAAGGCACTTCCCAGGGAGGTGGTGGTTTTGGGATAAGACACCTCCATCACATTGATATGGCAGTTGGTGGGGCAGAAGTCACTGCTGTGCAGAGGGGAAACCTTGGTCTTGGCCTGCTTGAAGGTTGGCCAGGCTCGGTTCTTCAGCACTCGGGAAAACTAAAGACAAGAGCAGTTCTTCTTAATCATCTACAATGCCACAAATGCCCGTGCCTGTAAAATTTTTTATCACTTTTATCAAAATATAGCCAAACACACTAGTTGCTTTTCATTGCCTAGCAGATGTACTACTGTATATACAGTATGTTGTGTCAGCACATCATTCCCTGCGTTATGCATCATCTATCAGGTGTTTGCTCAAACCTGAATTTAATATGAATATTTTTTCATCTGGTGCTTCTAAAATGTTTGTTGACCATTGAATTACAGTCCTTTCTGCAAACTCGATTTTTTTTAGAATTTTACACTTCCAGCATTCTCCCCTTATCTTAACTATCTGTTTTCTGCTCTTAGTCCAAACACACTCATTTCCCCAGTTGCCTACTTCCAGTAATTTGAGTATTTATCTTTTATGATGAAATTCAGCACAACCCTTCTGAAAATCGAAATACACCACATTATCTATGTGTTCATTACTGCTGTTATTCATTCACAGATGTCTTAACAAATTACTAGGGCATCTTTTCTTAATCCACGCTGACTGTTCTCTGGGAACGTTTTTCCATACAGGTAATCCTTATACAGTATGTTAAAGAACGAGGAATAATTGGTCTATAATAATCAGTTGCAAGAGCTGTGTAATTATTTAAGAATAATATGTTGTTACCTTTAGTACAATTGGTAGTATACCATTGTACCCTGGTGATTAATTTATCTTGAGAGATTCTAGTACTCTACATACATCTGTTCTTCTCTGCTAATAATTACTAAAACAGAAATTTGTTCTTCTACTGCCTGAGACATGTTTTGACTCCTTCTTAAGTGCACACCTGAGTAAAATATTAATTTGGTATACAAGCCACTTCCCTTTCATTATTTAGAGGTTTCCAGTTATTGTGTCATACTACTGTATATACATTTTACTTAATGGTTGTTTTCCTGTTACTGTATAGTGCTGAAACAACTTACTAATTTTAGATTCTGTTGGGATAAACAGGCTAAATCAGCAAATGGCCTTATGTTCTTAAGTTCATTGCAATATGCCTTTCTCTCTTTTGGCCTTTCTTATTTATTTTCTATCTCATCATTTTTTTCTTTTTTGTTATCAATTGTATACTTTTCCTTAACTGAATCCAGTTGTTTTAATAGTTTTATGAAGTGTTTTTTCCCCAAAACAAGGTTTTGTAATTAATGCAAGATTCACAAAACATCCTTTTATCTTTGCTTTTCATCTGTACTGACAGCTCAGTATTTTCTTTATTCTTTGTAGCATTTCTATTTCTGGCAGTTTTGTTGTATGTGGAAAACAGCTGAGGGGATTCAGCTGGTCTACAACAGCAGGATGTGCTGGGAATAAACTCTGTCTCACCACATTCCAAGTCTCACTGCAACAATGGGGCTCACAGTCCTAACAGACTGTAAGCCTTCCATTTCTACAGTCTACCACATTTTTCAAGCAAGGATAAAACATATACAAATACACTAAAGAACTGGCCGTTCAAATTGCTTTCAGCTACATCCAGTAAAAGAGTTGATACATTATGTAACTTAGATTGCATAGCTCACAGTGTGTAAACCAGACACAAAAGTTCTAATAAAATGATTGTTGTTTTTGTTCAGAAAGGGTTCATAAAATTAATTCCACCCAAAAATGTTACATGGGGGTGTTTCTCGACCTTTAAAGTGGCTTGGCCAAGCAAAACACTGAGCCCTATGAACACGGGTTCGAACCTGGTTCAATTGTGAAAGCGATTCCCCAAGTAGTGGCAGACTAATTGCCTGAGCTCTGGTGAGAGCATGATGAAATTAGTCAGCAGGGCTTCCTCAGCTGATTGAGGTACAGCGCTCCCTGCAGCCCCCAGGGGTATTGCAGGCATTCAGTGAGGATCAGCTGTGAGCCTCTGTTTGACAGGTGTGGCTCGAAGGTGAGAGGAAGAGAGATGCCTGCCTACACTTCCTTATTGACCCCTGTGCACCCTGCGCAGTCACGGGATTCATAGCTGGGAGCCGAGACATGAAAGACACACAGTTGGTGATTCCAAAACAGAGTGGGTCTAACGCAAAAAACTGGCGATTCTAGATTTCTAAAAGAATTTACATTAAATTACACTTTTATGAATGACGTGCACTGTAAGTTTGAAAATGTGTATAATCGTGTACAATCCATTGACCCCAACTCTGACGTGCTCTGACGTTCTGTGGAGGAACATTTTTTTTAATCAAACACCTATTTTAAATGCCTGACAATCACATATTTAGTATATAGTTTTGCTTAAAAGCTTCTATGTTCTGAAATGGTAAAAACATTTTGGAAGCAGACGTCTCCTAATGTGATTTTTTACTTCAGGTGCAGCACACTTCTTTTTTACAAAAGCCCTCTCCTCCATTACCTTTCTATAGTTGGTTATTCTCCTGTTGATGTGCTCAATTCTTTCATTGCACATGACAGCAAAGCTGGCCTGGAGGTCTTCTGGGATCCCATCATTGATGGAGCTCAGCCTCCCACAGGTCTGGACAAACTGGTCATCACTCTTAGCTAAAGCTTCAAGAATCTGAAAGGAAACACAGTCACATTAACTTGTGTTTTCACTCCACTAGAAAATCTCCCACCTGTGCTTTATGTTTTTTTTTTCCTGAATTAAAGATCTAATAACGAGGGAAAGAGGTGACAGTGTGTTAAAAGTGTTTCAAAAGCTCCGTACAACTGAAAGCTCTTCAGGAGTGAATGACTGAGGCCATTAATAAGGGAGAAGGCTTGCTGATACTCTGCAGCCACATGCACATCCCAGTCAGAGGCAATTACTGGTTGAGAGCCCTTTTCAACCTCTCTATATCTGACCTCTCCATAAGCAGCTAAGACCAAGCTGTAGCATTCAGGCCAGATTACCATGCATCACATTAAGCACATCACAGTCTTTTATTACAGGTACAGTATATACAGTATATGATACCTGTACATATGTGGCCTATTGTTTAAATGTCATGTCATTTGCCAAACCGCTTTATACCACACGATGTCATGGGAAGCCAGACCCTACCCAGAAAGCAACAAGCGCAAGACAGGGTACACCCTGGAGCAGTATATATAAGTTTTGTATAAAAATGTGTTTGAAATTTGCATATTTGTTATTTTTCTAACACCTTTAGAAAAGGTTTAATGTTTCTGTGCTCTTACTTGGCTTTTACGTTAACATCTGAACAAAATGTTAATATCTCACAATTACAAGTGTCTATTTACAACTAATTGCAAATATACTGTTGTACAGTGCAATGAAGTGCAAAACATACAGTAGCATAATCAAAATCTAAAGAACATCGAAGAAGAGAAAAAACATTTACTACAGTTCAGTATTATGAAACCAGAATGAGACTGCATTGCCATAGTTTAGAAACTACTAATTCATGTTTCCTACAAAGAGGAACTTTTGTATAATTGTTTGTCTTCTCTAAACTGTAGTTTATTTTTAGTTTCCACTATGTTCTTCCTTAAATGTGGTGATTTTCTTTCTCTTCTAATTTCTAACACTTACAGTATGTACTGCTTTTCTAGACACTCCACACTTTACAGGTAATGGGGACTCCTCATCACTACCACTAATGTGTAACCCACACCTGGATGATGCAATCTCACCAGACATCAGCTCTCAGTTGGGAGGAGAACAAAATGATGAAGCCAGTTCATAGATTATTAGCAGGCCATGATTGGTAAGGGCCAGGGAAAAATGTGGCCCTACTCTTTTTGAGAAATGCCCTGGGAGTTTTAATGACTACAGAGAGTCAGGACCTCAGTGTTATGTTTCATCCGAAGGACGGCGCCTTTTTTACAGTATCCCCATCACTATACTGGGGCATTCGGACCCACGCAGACCGCAGGGTGAGCGCCCCCTGCTGGCCCCACTAACACTTCTTCCAGCAGCAACCTTAGTTTTCCCCAGGGGGTCTCCCATCCATGTATTGACCAGGCTCACACCTGCTGATTATAGACTAGGCTATAATTAGCAGACACCATTGATTCGTGCTTCTGATCTATGAACTTAAGAAAGGTTACAAATTAGGGGGTGGGCATTGGGCCCTGATCTTCCAATTGGTAGTGAGTATTTAATTGATCAAAACATCTCATTCAGCTGTTTCTTGAAAGACACCACAGTAAGCAGAATGGCTATGCAGCTTGATCCATTCCAAAACATATGGAAGACGTCAGAAGTCATTCTTGCACTGGAGGCTCAATAATCTTCTTTATATCAATCCATTTTCAGCCATTGTGTTGCCAAAATCATTCAAATAAAGCAACAACCTCTTCCACTTCAGGATTTTAAAATACATCCAATTTATATATTTTATATTCAATTTCACTACAAACAATGATAATAAAGTGTTTGCCAGTGGAAAGAATATCAGTTCTCCTGAGGCTCATTAAAATCCAGAATCATGCCCATAAAAGAAAACATGAAATTGGTTATTGTACCAGTGATTTTCAAAAGATGGCCTATAGTGAATACAAGGAAAAGTGAAAATTAAATGGATGGTTATAGAAAATATTTTGAAGTCCTTTGGGCCAATTCCAGGACAGGCGCAGATTGTCTTCAAAGAGACAAAAGTAACTGAACAAGAATAATTTCCCTGGCTGCTTTTCATGGTCACGATTTTCAAGATAACTACTGTAAGAGTGTCTCAAATGTGCTTCACTACTTCACATCCTGCTGTTAAGAAAGCCGTCTTTTAATAAAATAATAGTAAGTTTGTGTTGTTTTATATAAAGGAGGCCTTCAAAATTCAGGAATTTCAGGATTTAGTACAGACGGTCTCAGTTCTGAGTTGTAAATGCACTTCTGTATAGTTTACACCTATGCATTCTGGTTCATATTTCACTGTAGATTCTTGAGGTGACTGGGTTGACTTAGACAAGAAGTATTATGTTGTTTTACTTTTAAATTTTGCTATTATTTTTTCTTCTCCCGAGAAGATCATGTGTTCAAATTGGGATATATCTCAAAATCTCATTTTAACTAGAAGCACAGAAAAATAGGTAGAATACATCCCTTGATCAAATTAGAAATGTCCACAAAATGTATTGTTCAATTATATCACATGTAAGTATTGTGAGTTACACTTTTGAGGAAAAGACCATTTTAAACCACCAGCATGATGAAAAAAACTTCAGCACTGTTACAATAAAATGTATTACGCATACTATTATATATGTTTACAGTTACATGTTAATTTCAGTAATTTCAATAACAGCCCATTAAATGGCTATATATACTAAAGTATTTTCCAAGTCTCTGCATCACAAGTTCCACACTTGTGTCATCATTTCTGTACAATTAAATTATTACGAAGTTTTCAAAAATAAACCAGACATATTGAGACAATTAACTCAAAGGATATGACCAAGGCGTTTCGTTGTAAAATGCAAATAAGCGAAAAATAATTTTGTAAAGTGAGTATTATAAAGCAAAATTCTGTATCTATGGATACTTAATGGAAAACAATAATAAAACCAAGAGCCATTGTGTCACTCAGACTTTGTATTTTTCCATTATTTTCAATCCTGTGGTTAAAATGAAATCTTGCTCTATAAATGGATTTTATATATGAAATTGTCAGTAATGGTAATGATATCTGTACCTCAGCGCTCAAAATGTACATGTGATACAAAATATAATAGAAAAAGCTCCCTAAGCTCTATGAAAGCTATCGTGCACATTTTTGTTCTACAGCTGAATCGCCCAAACATGAACGAAGATTTAAGAGTTTATATAGTAAAACAAGCCATGGTTTCACTGTAAATCCCACCTATTAATTGTGGCAGGATGTTCTGCATTAAGTAAATAAACATACAATGGTACAATAAGAGAGCAGGCGAGGGACAAAGTCAGTTATGAAATATACTCTGACCACAAAATCCACAGTGCAAAAGCAGAAATACAGGGCCCTTTGCTTTTATGGATATATTAATGTACTGCAGAAAAGAGCAGAAAGACATTGTGGTTCAAGCCAACCAGAGTCTAGAAGGAATAGCCTGTGTTGTATAAATTTATTTAAAAGTGGGCACCATCAAATTCCCCAAGATAAAACAGGCTTTGCAGCAGAAAAGCCTTTTTTTTCTAACTATAATAAGTAGGAAAGTCTAGTGAGACTGATAGCTTATTAGTTTGACAGCTACTTCCAGAAAAAAGGTGCTACCATGACACTGAAAGCATGCCGCATAGCCTGGAATGGACTAATTAGCTATTACTACAGTATATCAATCTTTTTTATATCTCAAGTCTCGAGACTTTAGAAATAGTTATAACAAGTCTTGGATAGAAAGTTGCAGTCATATAAGTAGTCAATTCTATTTTAAAAGAATTTTGCTGCCTTCATAAAATGAAAGAAAAACTCGCAACATGAAAAGGCAGCACTGAGCAATAAACAACTCCTTGCATAATATCTCCAGCCCACCTTTGACCTAAAAAAAAGTGCAGGTATTCAATTTGCTTTGTTCCTAATTATCCATTTGCCCAGGAAAACCGGCACTAGGGAAAGGAGGTATGTTTGCATCTATTTATTATTCAACACACAGAATTCAGACTCTTCCCCAGATCCCCCTTCTATGGCCTCAACAGGGATGCAGTATAAACGATCCTCAGTACCTTTGCGGTTAGCCCAAAAAAACCCTTGGGCTCAACCATCTTCTCAAGAACGTGGCATTTAATCCCAGCCGTGCTGTCGTACTCATACACCACTCCATATTCCAGCTGCACATTGTCCACGGTCAGGCTCACATGGTCCTTCTTCCCATCAATTATGGCAATGGTGTTGAATTTGTCCATCACCTCTGAAACACAGGAAAGCACACAGGCAGATCAGATCGCTCAGTCCGTCACGACAGCACTGATTTACATAACAGCATGTGGTTATTCCAAATCTTCACAGTTAAGAAGTTAAAATGAGCTGCTAAAGTGAATTTCACAGTGGTGAAAACGAAAACAGACTGCGTTTCATGTCACTGAGGTTTAATTACTCAACTGCACGTACTGCACGCAGTTTTGTGAACCCCCCCAAAAAATAAATGGCTGCCATTTTTCTATAGGGAGGTGGTATATTGTGCGGTGTGTTTGCCCAATATGATCATTTCTTTGTTGTCAAAGAAACACGAGGACACAGAGAACTTTAAGTAATACTCTGAAAAGCAAATGTGAATCAGACCATTCAAATATATTAACTGTTGGAACAATTCAATTCAGTATTCAGTAAGTGGAATACACTTCAGGAAAAATAGAAAGTTTTTAGTGACGTTTTTGTGGTAGAGAATTAATTTAAACTTAAAGGTCTTAACAATAAACTCTGCTTGTTTGAAATAAAACAGTATATGATTATTGGAGTGAAAAGCTGTTATAAAAACTGTTGGGCTTACGGGATAATTATGGCTTCAAGCACTATGATATTTTCCACACATTGTACTCTCTTCTAAATTTAAACTGCAAATGAGACTTCACTGTTTAACTTTCTTTCTCAAATGAAATGCATACCTTCCACTTTGCACTCAAACACATCACCACTGTCTTCTGCACAAGGCTTCAAGTGTGCTTTCTGCTGGTCTTCTTGAGCGCTGTCCCTGCTGTTGTACACCCACTTTATAGAATCTTGCTAGAAAAGAAAAGAATTAAAGGGAGTGGTGATTTACACTCGTAAAACCTGACCACTCATTTAAAAATGTTTTGTTCGGTGCTTGGTCTTAAGTTGCAATTGAAATGTTTCATTAATAGGTTTTATTTGTTGATTGAACACTAAATATAATTTTTCAAAATCCCAGAAATCATTTCAGTTTGAGAAACTGAACATTTTGGATTTTTTTTTTACCTTAAACATTGTCCTCTACAGCCAAATTCAGAGAAATATTCTATATAAACATTGATTTAGAATTAGTTACTTGTACGTAAAAATCAAGTACTGTATATGAGACAGTGATTCATGAAAAACATAGCACAGGAAAATGAAACAGTCCAATTTTGCACACCACATAGACCAGGCATCACAGAATGAAGTCACAGTTCCCTCTGCTTCCAAACGCCTCTGCTTTCAGGGCTGTGCTGTAATCAGCTAACCAACACTCACATGCCTTTCGGCCAGAATGACATGATGTTTTTCCCCCAATACCACAGAGGGCTCTTTGCCACCCAGCAGCAGGGTGTTCCCTCTTATAGAGGCCTGAACACAGCCGCAGCGCTGTCAGTGAACTACAGGGAAAATGAATAAATCACAGACATGCTGGGTCTGGCATCTCCAGCAATTAGAATCGAGGGACCAACTCCTAGTGCAGCAGGGATGCAAAATGTCGAGAGAGGTTCTCTTATCCATTACAGAACCATTACAACCCATCAGAGAAGGAGCTCAAACTATTATTTTTCCACTGAAGTTACCAAATCTATTTGAAAAGCTAACAATGATGCACAAAATACTGTCATTGACGTGCAGTATTTCTGTTCTCTATACAGTAGCCGTGACCCTAGTTTCTCTGCCCATGCAGACATCCTTTACTGTATTCTCACTGTCTCTCACCTGTGCCCTTATGATAGGGCTGGTCTGTCATAAACCAAGGGGATATAATTTCCACCCACACCACTCATCTCTTTCTTGACCTCCTAACTCTCACAGGAATCCACTTCTCCCACTATACTGCAAGGTTCTGGATTAGAAATGAGTTCTGGGTCTCATTCTATTTCTCCTAATTGTGGCTTTTAGATTTTGGGTGTAATATTTAATCATTTTACCTACTGTTATGTTTTTGTAGTGGGATGGCGTTTACTGTTTCATTATTGTTTGTTTTAATTATTTATTCATTTTACACATATAAGATATTGTATAAATATAGGACATCAGACTTTCCAAACCAGCATTCTTTGTACAGGCACTTTATCACCAGCCCCTACACTCCTGAATACTCATTTTAGGAGGGGGTTCTGACTTCCTAATCGATATGGCCAGGCTGTCATTTCTTGGGCCACGGTTAATTCCAAAACATGCCCTCATTTAACACAAAGCACACATTAGATTACCTCATTACGTCTGGTAATGTGCTTCAAAATTCAGTGTCTCCAAAATACAGTGCAAAATGCTGATTTGAGATTTCCTACTCTACTCTCAAACGTTTTCTATTTTTTACTGTAATAATTGTGTAAGACATTTTCATCTAACTGTGCACACCTCAAGAAAAAAATGGAAACAACTAAGGTAGCTAAAGTACAGTTTTATTAGAGTCTGACTTGCCCTGATTCCTGTTTATTTCTGCTGATTCATGATTCACAGAGTGCTTTCACTGCAGTGTGACATATAACTTTATGGGAAGGTTTAAAGACTCCAAACTGGGGGTTTCACAACTTAAACTCAGGATTGACACATTGCATTGGTGGCGAATTGTATTTAGGAACGCGATTTGTTTTCCTACCGCCAACTGCTGAATTAAACTCAGTGGGTTCATGTACAGTACATTGAGGGCATAGGGATCTGGTCTCTGTTTTCCTGATGAAGCGTCTGTTACAGTGAGGTATCAGCTAACACGTTTATTGGTTCAATCTCGAGCCAGAACACATCACAGATCAGAGATACTGAAAACGGAGGGCTGTGCAAGGTAAAATGGTGCAAAGCTAAATATGAGTATAACAGAGCAATTACTGCAGTTTTCGTTAAATTTTTTTTTACATTAAGATAAATTGTTGAAATAATTGCTTTTGAAATAAAAATAACTGCAAGGAGACAACTGCGTCATTTTGAAGCCCGCGGGTTACCTGGGATGGCCGTCTGTATTTCCGACACGCTGTGACATGGGCAATGACACTGGCATGGCTCTCCTTGCTGACATTAATCCCGTTGACCTTGATTATACACTGGCCAGGGTGAAGGCCTGCTACAGCAGCCACAGTGCCTGAGGATCAAGAAAGAAAAAGAATGAGACAATCAAATCTTACTTTATTTCACGCGGTCGTCTTACGGCAACCCTCCGCAGATGGACGCAAATTGTGACCTGGCCAAAAAGGTTTTTACTTGTGCTTTGGTGTAACAAGCAGATCATGCTACAGTTTACCAAAAACGTGTGACCTTGAATCAAGGGCAACACCTGTTACGTGCTGGATTTCATTCCAGCACACAAACCTCTATTACACTTTTTCCTGTACCAGGGAGCAAAAATGAATTATAAGTATATACTGTACTTTAGTGTAATAAAGACTAGACATATTTTAGCTTGTAGTACCTCCTACATACTGTACTGATGTAGGAACACCATACTGTTACGCATCTCAATAAATGAGTTATAGAAAAAAGTTTTCACCGTGTAAACATTATAAAATACAGTTAAACTAGAGTAAGAACCTCGTCTTTACTTTACTTAGTCAACATAATACTCAGCCTCTATCGAATATAAACAAAAAAAAGGAATACACAAACATGAATCTAAAGCATTGATAACTACCGTGCTTATGATCTGCAAGCAACATTGCTATACGTTTTATTATGACACAAAACATGCCAAAACAGGAGAAAAGTGCTCCTGTTTCTGTAATCCCTTGAAAAGCTGAAGGACCCTGCATATTTGGATGAACACAGTCTAATAGTATGTTATTTCGACAAGCATGTTATTAAGGCCAAAAACAACTGTACACATAGTACTGTAAGTAATGTACTGTGTTCAAAATGGTCACTTTTGACAATGCACTATGTATAGCTACGTTAAGCATAGGTTTTTCAGCATAACTTTAGTAATCAATTGGGCACATCCACATCGTTTATTTATTTGTAATCTGTAACATTAAATCTTCATGTTGCAAAGAAAAGTGTAATTCTTTTTACTAGGTCACAACTTGAACATTTGTTTCTGTAGTATAAATGTCACTTAGAATTCAAACACTGTCTGCTCTGTTTTCTGGAAACAGATGATGGGTTACTACAAAAGCCGGTGTATTAAAATGTCACAGTATCGGAAAATTAGACAGGAAGTGAACTATTGCTTTTTCTGTCCCATAAAATAGACGTCAATTATAGGCTTCCGTATCAGATCAAATTCAATGTGTAAAATATAATCAAATGGATTATGGGAGCTCTTTCATCTCAATTATGATAATACCAACAACATGCTCTGCAGTGATTTTAACCACTTTTACAACTTGCTCTTAATCTCCCTTAAGCTCTCACTCCAGCACCTGAACCCTTTGTTCTCTATTCCTTTAAGAACACAAACAGGATACAAATGAAAAGAGGCCATATGACCCATCTAACCTGACTGGTAGTTTGTAATTAATTGATCTGAGGACTTTATCCAGCAGTTTCTGTAAAGGAGCCTGGCTTGGTTTCAGTAATATGGCTTTTTACACATTTCAATTTGTACCCTCACTTTCAATTTATTTTTCACTGTTGAATCTCAAAAAGTGAACTGGGCATACTTTGTCAATGCCTTTAAGAGTTGTGGATAATTGAATCAGGTCTTCTCAATTCAAGACTAAAAGGTTCAGTTTTGCAGAAAACAAAGAGTTACTCTTTCTTAAATGTGACTGGAACTAACACCTATTCACATTTTCCAGTGTGTTCAAATAAGAAAGAAGTCTAAAATGTATATAATTAAACATGGAAAGCAACATTGTTTTCCATTTTGGAGAAACCTGGGAATTATGTTTGTGAATATTTCAGATGACAGTTGGTTAATTTCTTTGCTCTGAACCTTAACACCTGCACAACTACAAACGCCTGCCTAGTGTACAGAAGTGTACAGAATAATGGTGTGTTTACTGTTGTTTTACAGCAAACTTAATTAAACCATTTGTTTGCTCCAACTGCCTGGAATAAAAATCTGTGGTGCTCTGAATCAGACTATTGTACATTCTTACATACTTGTGAGGCTGTTGCATCTTTTACGTCTCTGACTACATCATCAGCAGAGTGACACATTGCAAGAGAGTCTTCTGAGAAACATGGGCTGTAGTTTTAGGCTTCAGTTTCTTCTTATTTGTTTTTACGATGTCCACTCAGGACACACGGGGAAGATTATTTTATCAAGCAACAGGCAGAAGGTGGGATACAGCCTGGATTGAAAATCAGTCCATCACAGACAGCACCCTAGTCCCAGAATTGAACCCAGAGATCCAGTGCTTAGAGGCAGCGATGCTAACCCCTGTTCAATACCACTGTCAATGCCACCTCAATTCTATAAGCAAATATGAAAGCAAATGGTACAGATGTCCTAGCAAAGTGTAGACTCCCAAACCAAGTAATAGCAAATTAACAGAGTGACTTAAAGTTTAAATTTTTTCTTCACACCTCTCATTAAGGAAACCGGAAGGGCAACAGGTCTCGGATGCATTCTGAATTGTACTGACAATATGATTGTTGAGGATTAATCTTTAGAATGGGAATGATGGGACAATAAAAATATTTGAATGTTTTCTTTCTAAATCAAAATGGCAGAATAATATACAAGCCTTAACTTAATGAAACTTCACTTAACCCAAAGGCTGATTTGGATCAAATTTTAACAAAGATCTGTAACATCTTTTAGACGTTAAACTATCTTTTATCTCAGAATCAGACCTGATTCGTCAAAGAGCTCAAAAAGGTGAAGCCCATGAGTAGGCTTAATTCCATTTCCTGTACAATTCTGCATGCTTGTAAGGTCTCTCAACAGTGTCCATGTGTGAACCTCTCCTCTTGTGAGAGCGCTGGGATGAAAGATGTCTTTTAATCAGCCCCATGCTTCTTTCATGCCCTCTTGCCGAAAACCCTTTGGATTCTCCCAAGCTGAGCATGTGGTTTGTGCCCTCACCGAGACTGAGGGCAGCTGCAGCCATCTCGCTTCAAAACATGATATTCAATTTCAAACCACAGCCCTCAAAGACTGAGGCTTCGGGGAGGAGGAGGAAAAAAGATCTGTTCCATCAATTTAAACCTGAGAGAGTAAGAATACGAGACTTAGAAGCCAAGGGATAAGGACATACTGTACACCAAATTAAACTGTTTCTCTAAAACCACAGATCAACACATGCTCATCCAGCATGCCCAAAATTCCTATTTCATTCACTGGAAAGGATGTGATCACCAAAAAAAAAGAGAATCAATTTTCAAGTGGAAGAAATCCAATAAATGCTGGCCTGTTTTACAGCCCCTCCACTGATCCACCACTAAGCTGATGGCTTTTAAAGGCTGTGAGCTTCAGCTGTGGAAAAGTGTGAGTTTGCTCTGATGCATTTAACACCGTAGCTGTGTCAAAGTGATTTACCTCGAACCACAGCTGCACGACAGCTGTCCAAAAATTAAAAAAACCTCCCAAAAAGCAGAGTTCTGTTTTTTGCATTACATTACCCATCTCCTTACCTCTGCCAACTGCATGCACAACGGATGGCCCAAAGCCCCTAATCTGGAATCCTAGTCCGTCCGCAGAATCTGGAATTTTTACAGTCCTAGGGAAGAGAAGATTAGACTTGTTCTAATGCATTTAAACATAAATGAACTAATTAGTCTATTTCCTTCAATAACCCAAAAGTGCGTAGTTCTTGACTCACAGTTTTTGTGAAGACAGCCTTACAATTAAAGGTTCATCAACCTTTTTCTAACAAGCAGTATAGTCACATCTTATTTTACTGTAATAATAAGACTTGCAGGAGATAAATAGATGCATTATGTTTTTTTTTTCCCAAAGTTATTCTATAACAACATTGTGGCAAAAATAAAACTAGTGACCCTTTTCCAAAAGTGGAAGAGCTTGGTATTAACACAGAAACCTCAGGGAGAGAAAATGACAGGACGAGAAACCCCCAGGCTGCATTTAGTGGCAGTGATGGCTGTATTTCCAGCCACGGGCTGGGGGCAGGTACACCCCCACACTCACTCTCTGGGCTTTGTGCTGACGAGGACTCGCAGGGGCCCTCCGCTATTCAAGCACTGTTTCAGGAAACACTCCACTTCCTGGAAAGGCCTTAGGAAAACCAGGTCCCCATTGATGGCAAAGATTTTCTTCCCCACCTCCAGACCAGCCATCTGGGTTTATAGAAAAATAAACAAAACAAACGAAAGCATCTCAATATGATACATTTCACTGAAGGAGCATTCTAACCGGCCACTGCTACTGAAGCCGATCCGCTGGATTCTTTTGAGAAAACGGCTGAATAAGATCCTCGGATATATTAACTACAAACTACCAAGCAGGCAAGATGGGCCTCCTCTCTCCTCCTACTTCTTCTGTTCTTCTGCTCTTAACTTATTCGTGAAACTGAACAACTCAACATGTGAAATAAATCAAAATTAATCATGTTAAATCCCACTCCCATGTCACATCCCTGAGAATGCAGGGCTTTTTGGTATTTAGACTATAATTACAGTACATAAATAAATGATTAAAGTTCAGCTGTAGACTTACGCTTCATTGTGGTATACACTAGATAAAGAGTTATCAGTATAGCATATAGAATATATTTTATAGTTGAGTTAGAGTAGTAGAAACATTTAAATGCATGACGTATATTTTTAAAAACGATATTCAGTTATTCAAATATTCGAGTACTGTGTGTAACAGACAAATAATGTTTCTTAATTATTCTTTATTATTTTCTGATAGATAACAATTCAGGACAAAAAATCTCTCCACTCAGTCTGCCTTTAGGGGCTGGTGTGAGCACGAGGAATTTAAAAAGAGCTATAACATGTTGGGTTTCATGAAATGTTGTAATGAAAGAACATTTTACTCAATATACCTACTGTAAAATTAACAATAATGTTCAAAAACTAAATTTGTATTTTGACTGCAGTATTTGGATTTCTTTTCCTTTGCAGCTTGTAGTTTTTGTCTATTTTGAAACCCGTTCCTAGTATTTTTAGCCTGTTCTTCAACACAGACAACTTTAGCTCCTGCAATTTGATTTGGTTTTCTCTTTCCAGCTACAGCCTTTGAGTCAAACCACCACCATAATCTTCATGGGATTCAATCACTTCAGAGCTTTGCACCTCGAACTCCCTTCCGTTTCTGAAAACAGTCCATTTGAACTTTCTCATATCCACAATGAATTACACTCATCTCGGACAGACATCCCTTCTGGACTCCTACTATTTTAAAAAATCAACAGCGAGTGACTTGCTACCTTAACTCACACCACTGCCCCAAACTAAGCCAGCTTCAGCACCAAAAGCTGTCCATCTGTTACTCCAGTGATCTTAAATCTATTTAAAACTTAAACCCTCTGTGTCCGATTTGCCTTCAGCTTAGCTCACTATGGGATCGAACAGTAAGACACCAGTTTAAGTCTTCTGATCTGTTGTGTGGTCTCCTCCCTACCCGAAGTACTATAGTCTGCATGTTTGTCTTTCAAATCTACTTGACCACTGCAGTACTTCTGTAAATTACACAAAGCAAAAGTACAACATGAAAGCTGACATATTAGTATTTTATTTAAAGATGTGGCTATTTCAGGTTGTGTTTGTACAAAAAGGAGATCAGATATTTAATGGGTTATACTCTACACTGTTACCAACAGTGCATATTTCACATTCCCTAACATTCCTTAAGTCTCTTGAACTGACATGATGTGAAGAGGCGCCACTTTCACAAATGGGTCCAATTTTAAAATCCCTCACAGCCGTTTCTGCAGTGCAAACCTTTAACTGAAGGTCCTTCAGATGTTGGGAATACAATTTTGAAAAACCATCATTTACAGCTGAGGCTACAGACTCACTGCTTAGGCCCTCTGGGACAAATTTTAACTCTCATTATCATACCATGATAACCAAATGTAGACCTAAAAAAATTGCTTATAGATGCTTAGCTGTAATGCTGCATGGCTTTCTGATCTACACATGCATAATGCAATCAAACAATACACTAATAATTGAAAAACAGGGCTACAAATTTACAAATTTAGCAATAAAAATTATGGCTTATCAATGCTGTGTAATCATTTTGAAACTATGATCTTGTTCTTGTTGATGTTGTTGTACTGTATGCAGCTCTTACTGCAGTTTCTCTATGAAGTTAGTAATAAAAGCCCTATGGAATTACCTATGTGTTTTCAGTTCTTTATATAGATGAGTGGTTAAACAAACCGAATATGCAAGTTTATCTAATTAGAGGACAGACTTAATCATGCAAAGACGCACAGGTTCACTGATGCACACAAGGGAATGAGGGATCTGTTTCCTCACTACTAGACCAACACGAGACAGGTTACATGAAGGAAAGCATTCTGTCCATCTAGCTCGCTTTGTTAATTGATCAGAGGATCTTATTCAGGCATTTCTTAAAGTAGGTCAAGGTATCAATAGTATGGTTGAATTCCAAAATTCAATAACAATACAGGAAACAAGCTACAGGGTACAGTACATGCATGGGCGTAATGTTAGCAACAGCAGTAGTAGATAACAACAACAGAGATTACAGAAATGTTATTTACTTTACAGAATTCCCCATTACCTGTTGAAAAGTCAAATCCATTTACTTCTTTACTACTTTAGCATAGCTGTGCCTCCTTACATGGTTAAACTGAGACCTGTGCACACAACTAGCTGGGAGATACAACACTGCATTTGACTTTAATCTCTGTATATGACTCCTATCATTTTTTGACAATTATGTTCAAGCTGAAATAAAAGAAACATCATCATTCTTAGTGCATTCCATTAGAATGAAAACCCCTTACCTCTGCGTACGATCCCTTCTCAACTGACTTGACTATAGGCACCCGATTCCTGTCTTCTAAAGAAAACCCGTATCCACCCCCACTTGGTTTAATCTAGTGAGATAACAGGGATAGGAAATTATTAAGAACTGACATTTCTATGACATTTCAAAAGAGTACAATTAAAAAGCAAAGGATATTGAACATTGTCCTACATAAGATTTAAATTAACAAAAATAAATGAATGTGTCATTCAGGTTTGAATCCATGAAAATTGTACATTGCTTTTTAGTCATCAGAAAAGAATTGGCCTAATTTAACATTGTAGGGAATAGAGTTCTTCAGTGAAGAATAACATGCTCTTCTTTACATTTGACAAGAGTATTATAAAAAAGATTCACCTAGCAAATTGAAACATTTTTATCTGAATGGGTCCTTTTTGGATAGACTATGTGTCATGTTTTAGCTGTACAACATGAAAAAATGAAAACCATATGGTCTTGTATATTCCTCTCTATTTTAAGTAGTTACAGCTGTATTTAATTAAACACAATGTGCCTTACCAGCAAGGACTTAGCGATTACATTTTCAACTATTTTTAAATCGTGCTTCATGGGCTTGTGCTTGGTGTTTGACCCTTCCATCTCCTCATCAGCAAAGAATCGGAACAAAAGGGGCTCGTCTTTAAATTCACTTTTCTCCAGCACTGTGAAAACATTTTACAGGTCAGTTCCACGCTTCTCTTTCTAACCCACCCTAGACAATAAGCTATTTAAAATTAAGAACACTGCAAACTAAACAATTCACAACAAATACTTTTTTCTTAAAGTTTTTTTACCATTCTAAATGTATGTTTATTTAACATAGTAGTGTTGTTAATAGACCAATTATATTAATATTTTGCATTTGTGTAACAGGTGGTGCCTTTCAAAAGTATTCACCCCCTTCTAATGATATTCCATGGTCAAAAGAGGAGGAGAGAGAAGGATATTGCAGGAGAATAGAAGCAAAAATACAGGAGGGAGAAAGTTAGTCTACAAGCAGTCTTCACCACTGGATTCTTGCTTAATGAACCAAAACCAGTTACTGGGCACTTAAGGGACTTAGACTAAATTTAGGGAAGAGTGGTATTTTTCATATTTGTGGGAATAATCAAGTTTCCTCTCTACATCTCCTAGGCAGTTTGTCGTCCTCCTGTTTATTTGCTTTCTTTTTTAAAGGCTAAAGTCTCACTTCTCTCATCAGTTTAAATCTTAGAGTGCAGGCTCACTTGTGAAGAACGAGTTATTTTATGAAATCAAGGGTAAGGTTTTCCTTAGCCATATAAGGATTTATGTCCAATACCGACGACCTTAGAGAGGACGATGACAGGTACAGTATGTAGGACAGAAGGCTGAATGTAAGGTATTGGGCTCTAGCCCTTCACTCCAATTGTAAATATTAGTGAAAGTATCGGTCACCTAGGGACAAAAACATATAAGGATTGAATGTTTTGGGAATGTTTAGAAGACTTCATGAGATAAATGCGACTTCACCCACTTGGTTTATGGGTAGCCTGCTGGCCACAAGACAAGGAGGCTCAAACCCCATTTAGACAGGCTGAACCAAGGAGCAGCCGGGGGATGCTTGAGATGAATGCAAAAGTTTGTGTCCGATATATATACAGTATACAGTAGCTAATTTCATAATGATGGTGGTTAGATACACCTGTTTGAGACAGACGCCACTTGAGCTTGCCCAGTATTCCCTGATTTGTTTGAGTGTGTTAGTGCCCTTTCTACATATCACTAATATTTTTAACAGAGCTGACCTAAATATTTGATTCATAAACAGTTTCAACCTCTGGTAACACTCTCTTTTTGTGTGAACAGACTTTACAATGTTGCCAAGGAACATGAAGATGTACACAAGGAAACATTAAAAGTCTGGTTCACGTGCAAAAGTGATGAAGGTGTAATTTACAGTCATGGACGACACAGAACTTTAGAATAACGCTTGAGCTCCAGCACAAGATATGATTTTGCATGTTTGCATAAAATCTGACCTACTTTTGGCTTAAATAGGTCAAGGTTATCACAGTAACACAGTGAACTATATCTAAATCACATCCCCAGGTTTAAAATGTGTCTTTTTTTTGCTGGTTATGTAATTCTGCTAACTTGTACAATTATATTTAAAAAACAGTTAACACAAATTTCTGTGGAGCAAGTAAAACAAATAAAATTGGAACATTTTTACAAGAGGTAACGGAGAAAGGCCCAGGTCAGGACTGCAATCCGTCTCCATGGTAATCAGTGAACCAAACTCAATCAAATACTCTTTGAAGCATAACATACCACAGAGACACCAGAGTTCATTTACATGTTCTTCCTTGTAAATAAGTGGTTTCTGAGGCTGTTATAATGGTTTAAATGACAACAGAATAAAATTTGGCAACAAGGTTCCATAGGAAAATATGTTTTCTGGATCACATGGAAAACTCTGAACCTTAGCATAAACACGTTAAAATAACTTCCACAGCAGCATTCTATATATACACAACAAAGCTAGAGTAATTTGTAACACTTACATCATAAAAATAATGATACATTTTGAAATGTGGCTCGGACATGTATGATGTGGATGTTGGCACAAAAAAACGCCAAAGAACCAAAAGTAAACTGCCTGCTGTCAACAAACAGTAACTATGGCAACTGACCGCTCTCACATGGACTGAAAAATGTCTTTTTGTTAGCCAAGTTTCAGTCGGACGTTAACCACACACAGAGATTCTGCCACACCTCACACGTGTACAGCAAAGCTCAGCTTCTAAGAGTACTCCAAATATTTCTCTTTAGTAGTACTGGTGTCTCACAATGCTGTTTCTAAAACATCTTTCAAGGGATTTGTAAGGGGAAAGGAGTCTCTAAAAGAAGAGCTGTGAATAAAAAATGTTTTCATGTACAAAAATAGAAAGCAAGGTGGTTTTTATCTATCAGCATCACATTCCCAATGAATTATAATATAGGACATTACCATGATGCATGAATCCATTATCACAAAGCTCAACCCCCAAGATCAACGCTTCCTCTCTTGTTCGGCAATCACCCTTGAAAGAAAGTTGCATTGCATTACTTACACAACCCAAGGCCAGCAGTGTCAATGTCACATTCATGCTTCCCGCCTGGTGGCCCAATCAGTAGAGTTCTGCTTGAGCAAAACCTCATCACATACAGTAGGTGTGGATTCACACACAGTATACAATTAAAATTAGGACTATGGTTCTGTTGATCACAATGTTCTGAAGAATACAGTACACCACAATGACTTCACTTGGATTTTATACAGTATGAAAGAGGCACCAGTGCCGTTTAAACAATAAAGACACATCTTGAGATTTCTATATATAAATATATAGTTGAGTATTATTTAAAATTCTACTGAAGTCTTTACCAAGCAACCAGACATGTTCATATTCCATATTGCTCACTCTCCAGAAAATGCAGCTGTTTTTTTTTTTAAATTTGTATCAATTAATGAATTCCAGGGGATTTTCTGCTTAGCATGACAGAGAGTCATCATGGCGTTTGCAGGGCATCACAGACGCACATTCATGGAAAAGGTGTGTCTTCTGTTCCTACACGTGATCATCGCGCAGTGGCGGAGCCAGACGAATGCGTATGCAGCTGATTGCACCTACAGTAGCACATTGGGAAACCTTCACACGGTCAAGGTCTTCTTCCAAGGTCAGCGGGTGACTGATGCCTGCTGTCCTCCTTAACAAAGCGTTCAGCATAACAGATAGCCGAATACAGATGGTGAGATATACCAGACACTGCTGTCACCTTTGCTTGAGAAGTACATGGAACTAGAAAAGTTGGCAGCAATTTCACGATCGCCAATAGAGAATGCAGTATCTGTGTACAATATTCTATGACACTTTAGATGTCCTCTAACATTGATAATGGTGGGGCTTTTGAGGCAATATCAATTTATAGCACCATCTTACCTTTAATATGCCACATGATCACTAAAAGTTAATTTCACACAACTATGACATCTGCAATTAATGAGTAGTTCAAAAATTAAACTAAATATTTAATAACCCAATTTACAGATTGATTGTGGAGTCTGCCATTCAATGCATATGTACATTAACTTTTATATTTGTAAGAATGATGAAGGTGCATATTGGTATTGTGTCCAAAGATCTCTTCTAAATCTAGACTTTGAGTCATTCCACCTTTCCAAGTACCTTGGTGCATTCCCATACATATTGCGGTATGTTTAGATATGGAATACACAGTTTTGTGCTTAAACATATCTTAAATCCAATTTTTAAAAGACTATAAGAAGAAACAATTAAAGGTTTATTCCATGCAGAAAAGAGAAGAAAATCAACACAACTTTTTCTTTTTTACTTGTTCCTTTTCAGCCTACACATCCTGACGCGGCTACCTACTTGAACTACTAAGAATATAAGAAGACACTATAAACTTTAAGTAAAACTTTTTAGAGGAAAAACATATTCATATTATGCATTTCAGAGACAAAACAAATATTTTCCATATTACAACATGGCTTTCAATATAATGTGTATCAATCACCAAGCAACAGGTAAAATGATAAATAATGCCATCATAAATTAAACCACAGGTTTTTAAAAACAAACAGCAAAACTGGAGCTAGATTTTGCTTTATTGTTTCAATCTGTTTCCTCTTCCACATATTTGAATGACCAGCATGTTTAGAAAAAAGCTACTTCCCTTTTCCTTACTTTCATCTTTTCCCATTTCCTATGAAGGAAATGTGTTTTCTATGTGCACAAAGGCCATGAATTAAAAAAAAGACTTGTTAAAAAACATGCTGACAACAGTGTTACCTGTGCTATGAGCCAGTCTATGAGTTTGTTTGCCATCACCACAGATTTGTATGTTCTCAGGTGGTAATCCTTGTCCCTTAAAAAGAAAAACATTGCCTGTTTAAGCCTGCTCAGTGAATTCTATATGGTAAAAATGAACTAAGAATGTAACAAAGGCACCTCTGATTCATGATCATTTTATCAATCTGCTACTCAGTCAAGGTCTGACCTTTGAAGAGACTTTCTTGAGCTTGGCAAGTACTACTCAAATCAGATTTTACCACACAGTTATTGAATACAGCTTTGATGCGGAGGTGGTTCAGTACAGGAAGACATTCAGACCCTCTGGGTAAGACAGAATTTAATTAATTGCTAATCACAACAAAGTGATAGTAATAACAATGCAATAACGCAATACTAGTAATAACAGTAAAATATTTATAAACACTGCTGGATGTATTCCAATTGAGTAAAAAGAAATTAATAGAAATACATCATATTAATTTACTGATGTATTAACGTGCTGCTGGCCTCTTTACATTGCACTAGATCAACAAAGTAAATAAATACAGAGTAAAAATCAACAGTTTTAGTGACACTATTAGTATGTACTGCGGTGTTAAAAGTTAATAATGATTCCTTGCATTTATGCCACACTTTGTACCCCTAAGAATCTCAAAACACTAAATACAGATCTAGCCATTACAGATCCAGTAATAATGCCATCTAATGCAGTATACATACCGCACTGCAACATTATTTTTTTCAAATATTCTGTTGTAGGACTGCACTACTTTGTAAAATCGCGAGGTTGCACAGTGATTGCTTAACGTAGAGTGTGGAATTACTTTGAAAATGCATGGTTTCGAATTCGGCTCAATGCTCAGCCCCATAGGGACAATCTTTTTCCAATGACAGAATTTAAATTTTTATGACTTTTATTAATTGCATACTGTGTATTACAGTATGTTAAATATTAGATTAATATTAAAAAGAAAGTAGGGCTGTTTAAAAAAACAAAAGCTCAGCTGGATATATAAAAAATAGTTTATTATTATAGCTTGCTAGAAATGCGATGTGCTTCTTTCAGGTTTACATCCACTTCCATCCAGCCATTAAAATAGTCTATATTTAGTCTTAATGCAAATTTCAGGAACAAGTTATTGGGAAACATTTTTGTTTTAAATTTTTATATAATAATAATAATATATTTCACACATACTGTACAGTAGTGGCTTTGAAACTATATGGGATCATACTGTACTTACTGTATATCCAATATACTTATATAGTACTGTATACAAATCATTGACTTGTACGCTATTGTTTGGGCATATCTGCGGAAATGGAATCATGTGATTAGCATGTATGGCAGGTAGGGAATTGTAGTCTGTATTGTACATGTATTTGATTAATTTGTCTGACATTTTAAAAGTATAGTACACGCTGTCAATGAAATATGTCCCATTTTAATTAGAATATACCATTTCATGATAATAATGGAGTTGGACCAAACAATGTGCTATGAGCATTTGTGCAGCTCGTATCTCGAGATGAACTGTACAGGAGTGCTGTGGTATTGAGGTTTAAGGGCCAAGGGCAAGCCAAGCTCCAAATGCAGGCTCACAGAGGACCCTCCCTCTGGAGTTTTCAAAGAAGGCTGATTAAAAATGTATGAACAATGCCTGTGGACAGGCTGTCTTGAATCTAGTTGTGCAACTCACAATTGTATAGGAAGGAACCTATTTCATCCAGTTCTAATGTGAGCTGAGTTCTTTTTCAGATTATGTTAATAAAATCGGTGAAATTCATGTCAGGTAAATGTTCAGGAAGGCACAGAGGACTTACCACTGACACACTACAAGCAATACATTCAGCTTGCAGGATTTTTCTGGGACATAATGCAACAGCACAAAGCCCTGGCAGAAAATTCATGATCCTGGTGTACTGAGCTGTTTGTTGCCATCATGCTTAATCTATTTACATTAAAATCAATCAGAACTCTCTTTAATTGCGCATCTTTAATTTATCATGGCTGAAATACCTTGGCAGATTAAGGATAAAAATTCACAAAATCAAGCTGGAGATGAGCCATAAAATCACAAATAGAACATTACGGATGCTAGCCCTGTAACCCAGCAGAGCTGTGCGGTTCTGTGTGTAACTGAACTGCTCACTGTGAGGGCTTTTTACAGCCAGTGCCAGAGTCCAGGAATTTACTATGAAATGAGCAGTCATTTTCCCATGAACACCGAATCTCCTGAGGGAGAATAACTAAGACTACAGTACTAGAAGGCCAGTTTATCCAGAGCCTCTACTTTGACATTACTTTCTCCACTTTCTACTTTTACACAAACAATCCATAGCACATGTTGTGAACAAAAGTCTCGCATTTTAAGTTCATCACTAAAATTAAAATAAACACTGTCATTAAACATCTTCCAAAACTAAAATAAGCAAATGTTTAAACATAATGTACTGCATGACTGAATTAAGTCACATATGGAGAAAACCTGCGCTTTGTTTGAATAACCTATTTATTTCCTATTAACGTCTTTTCATTTAAACAAACACTTATAATAATTACCATGGGAATATGATATGAGATTTAGATGCCTGCCTTAGTTAGTGCCTTAATTTGCACATGCCTGAAATGACCTGAACACTGCTGATTTAAAGTCCTCAAGCACCCACAAAGCTTGGACAGTTATTCGAAAGACGTTTTTTGTTTTTCTGAGAAAGGATTCTTGCTTTGACCACAAATGTAGTCAAATGAAAAACTAGAAATAACCCACATTGCACCAGGCTCACCATCTGTGCAGGATTTGTGCTGTGCAATCTTAGACACAGGTGCCCAGAAAAGGATTCTGTAGCATTTCTGTCTTCCCATAGCCCTCAAACTAATAATTTCCCATTTTATTTTTGGAAATAGGCAGCATATGCATTTTTATTTCCTAATTAAGCAGAACCACAAAATATCCGAGTTCTAGACATTGTGCTCAGTACAGCAGCATTCACAGCCATAACCCCTGACTTATATTTCGGTGCCAACATTTGTCATATAATAGGATTTAGTTTCTGCATCTTAACAAAGGAAGACAGCATGACTGTTCAGTAATGTAAAATACGGGCTGTCTAGCCCACTGTTGCGCCGGAGTGCTTGATTTATCTGGTGTCCTTGTAGGGAAACCAACGACCTTTTGCCCCCTTCAAAAGCCCCTCTCTCCTGTACTGCAATCAGGAAATTCCACCCAATTAGGCGGGACTCTGCAGTTTCAATTATGAAAATCTCATTCTTTAAGCAAGAGTCATTGCATCCAACCCATAGCAGTGCACAAACCCATCTCTAAACTTGGGTCTTTCCATCTGTCCAACAGGAAACATTAGCTTGTTGCAGCAAATGTTGTTACATTTCCTAGTTTACTATTCAAACTTGAATGTCACCACAACACAGTACCTCTTCCATGCTTCAACACTCTGAAGCTGTTATTATACAGTAGGACACAGGCAGTCTTAATATCCTTTAAGGCTATTATTGAACTTTGACACATATGATCTCTTTCCTACGCCTGTGACGCGGCCAGTGCACTTTAATGGCAATCCATGGAAGAGCATAATTACTGTAGCCAATTCATTGCTACGCTGAGGTGAATGCAGACCTGTTTTGTCCAGTGCTGTATGTTTCTGTGATTCAGGATTGCAGGATCGTGTGTGCTGGTTATTGTTGAGGTTTCTAGGTTGAGCATTTTTTTCACCTACAAATGATATTTCATGAATACATTAGTCAAGTGGAACAGAGTGAGAGGACAAAAAGGAGGCTTTCTCACCAGTCCAACAGGCCAACTCTCCACTTTTTCCATTTTAAATTTGGCCAAGCTCCTTCCTAACAATATTAAAAAGTAGCAGACACTTTAAGTTAACCCAGATTTCCTCAATTAAATTAAATGTCACAAATCTTTCACAAAGTCTTTCACAAATCATTAACGCAACAATGAGGCTTTTCCTATCAAGTGCGGAGTGAAGTTTTACTAAGAGAATAATCCCAATTCCTCTTACCTGATCACTGGTGTGAAAAGACTATGAAGTCTGCAGTAGAGCCTGACACCCTATAAAGCAATATGCAAAAAATAAAACAAGTAATTGTCTGCCACTAACCAAGGTCCTGAATCACAAATAGAACACTTTTCACACGTTATTTCAGAACTGAAGTCTCAAGTTAAAAGACAGAGAAAGAAAATATTTATTCAAATCTCGATACTGGAAAAACAAAATAAGAACAGAAAGATGTGGCTGTAAGTCCATTACCTTGGAGATGACGTCCTGCATGTCACTTCTTGGGTGGTATGTTCCATCATCATATCGGAATCGGTACAATACAGGTTCAGCCTTGAACTGGTGCTTGTCTGTAACTTAAGAGCAGTACAAATCTATGTTAATGATTCAGGATTTTCCTTTTCGAAATTTTCCTTTTCGGTCACAGAATTTTCCATTTACAGAAAAATGCTGATAAGGTGGCTGTACAATCCCCAGCTTTTGACAACTCATTGAAGACATTTTTAAATAAATAAAACAGGGCTTCAAAATCTTCTTGTTCTTGCTCGGTATAAATGTTTTTCATACCGGTGCATTAATGTTTTTAAGAAAAAGGAGATTCATCTTAGTCCTCCATTTAATTATTCTTAATGATAGTAAAGTAAAATGTGAATAAATTTTTTTCTAAATGTTGACGATGATCTAGTATTATCAAACATAAGTTAACACAAATAAGATAATAATATTGCCTAAATAGAATCCAATCTGTTACGTAATGTTCTTCTTTTGTCAAAAGATATAAGAATTAACATTAGGATCTTACAGACTACAACCAAAGAAATGGTCAGTAGGAAATAATTGTTCTAACATGAGCCTAAATTAGGAATGACTCAGCCAAAATCTCCTCTCTATTGTAACATTTATATTGTTTGTTGTGTTCACTTTAAGTTTGTTACAAATTGCAATTTTAGTTTTAGTTTAATAGATTCAATACATTTTCAAGTATTGACTGAACTGTGGTAATATTATTACTCTTACCCTTATTGCATTTTTTATGCATACTGTATATAATTTGTACATTGGCAATTACCATTGTTTACTGTTTATTATTGTACTATATTACACTTATCTGTGTTAAATTCTTCTCCCCTTTGTGACTCACCCTGGAAAAGGGCACCTTCCAATAAAATAGTATTAAAAAACACTATTCTCTGGTTAAAAAAAATGCTTTCTTGAAGTATACTTGTCATTTTCACTTCATTTTAACAAATTAAGCATTGTCAACAGGCTACATGAACATATTAGCTTATTGTTGCTAATAAAAGGTATTGTTTTGGACTAATCAACAGCTTTAATAGGCCCACTGTTCAGGCTATGATTTCCACATACTTACACATTCCTAACACAGTACAGTAGCTTAAGAAGCAGGTTATGTTAACCAGGTCTCCAGGTTATTACTAAAATTTACTTAAATCAGCAAACAGTGTTAAGACCCAAGACTCGAGTTGGAAAAATCTCTGAATTAACAGTGATACACAATAGCTTCCCACCATAAAACAGCAGTAGTGTTCCCTTCAGCATGGAGTTGCCGATGCAGGAACTCCATAAACAAGTCCATTTCCTACTGGGAATTTACCATGATGGATGATGCCATTTTCCAACAGTGCCTGTCCGAGATGAACCCCTTCCTCTGGATTATCCGTTTCTCCAATCTCCATCAGCCAGGTTACAAACTCACTGCAGGGAGACACATAAATCTATTTCAGAATACCAAATTTGACATTTATATTTAATAAGGGCCAACCTTAAGTTTTAATTAAACTTAAATGTTGCTCTCATATTGTCATACCATACTTGGAATCCTGTACAGCCTATGGAAAGTCTGGGTAAAAAAAGAATATAGCACATTAATCTTCTTATTAATTCTTCAATCGTGTATGCGGCAATACTACACTGTGTGAAAAAGAATAACTGGGGACATTCCAAAACACTTTTTATTCAAAACAGGTTTTCATTTTTAAAGATGCTGTTCTTCTGTGGTGCTAAGCACGTACAGTAAATAAGGCTTTGTACCCCAGGACAACACTCCCATCCTCTCATAATCAGTAACCTGGCTACCTGTGAAGAGTGTGGAATAATGAACCAAATAAAGTCCACCAAAATACTGATCACAAAATACTGATGCATAATTGTTATTTTGTGTGATTTTGTTGGTTGTTTTGTAGCTCTTATAATTCAGTATTCTTATGCATTCAATTTGATTTCACTGGAATCAATCACTGTATGGGCTTCAGTTCTTCTTAAAAGGAGCAAGCTGCAAGTCAGAATTCATTCCTTAATTACATTAATTACAGCTTCACTCTCCCTTATGCACACACAAAATTAATGCAGTCCTACAAAGCTAAAAAGGCTGAGCTCTATATCCTATGTTAACATTGTATGGAGAATACTAAATAGATTCCACATCCACAACAAGGTTTGTGATATATAGTATGCCAATTGCTAGATACTTCTTGAGATGAGACTCCACATACATGAATTGAGATGAAGTGATGTAATTTTGCCATATCACCCTAAGTCGCAAACAAAATAACAACATAGTTTGAGTGCAAATCACACAGGGCCTCTAACAAACTTGGGCTATGACATGAAAGCAACCTGTAACAAATTCAAGATGGTCCTTATATGCAACCAACAGCATGGCCCTTTATAAACCAAAATTATATTATGCAGCCAACAGAATAAAATGTCTTCCTTTTTCTGGTCGGAAGTACGCATTATTCGTCCTGAAGCAGCAACACATCAGCATTCTCTTGTAATACCTTTGTTATTGTTAAACCATATTAAATTAATACACAACATGAAAGCAGGCTCCTTAAGCAATTTTAGAATGCCAGCAGGCACAGATAGAAGCTGTGAAAGTGAAGCCTGCTCTGGAACTACAGGGGAGCTATTACAGAGGTTCTCAGAATGAAACACACTACAGCTGGCAAGACATCATCTTGACTGCATACCAACACAGAGATGACATCAAATCACATTACACAACACAGGTCGGATTTTTACCTTTTATTTACCACTGAAATCATCTTAATCACAGCTCATGCCCAGACCAGGTTCTCTCAGGTGCTACAGTAGTTTTTAAGAAGTGGCGAACTCTAGGAGGCTGTGGCAGTCAAAACACTCCCTTAGTTCTCTGATACTTCCCATGTGCATGTTGCCAGTACATCAGATACTCTCTTTCAGTATTCATCGTAATTTACTATCGAGCACTTCAAAGTATGAGAAACTGTTAAAGACATATTCTTTGTGACTGCTAGCAAGCCAAGCTGAGAAAAGGCAAAACCTGAAAAGCGGAGGCACAAAAGGTTGATTTTAACCCTCAAGGGAGAATGAGATGACAGAATTAAACTCATTAGAAGAGAAATGACTATGCAATTGCAATAAATGAAACCAAAAATTCAGTGTTTCCAGGTAAATTGAAACTTCTTGCAAAATACCAATGAAAAAGTCCATATGCTTGATTTAAAACACAGAAGAACATATTTCAGGGTTCTTTCTGCCAAGGTCTGGAAGCTCTGTCAAGTAAAGCCACATGAAGATCATACAGCCTTAAGGCTAAAAACACCCCCACACGAACATTCTAAGTTAAACTTAATAGCTCTGAGTAATTTATTCTGTTATGACTTTATTTGGAGTGTTGTATTGTCTAGAGAAAAAAAAAAGCATTCTACTACGCAGAATGAGGAATGCATCCGATTTTAAAATCACTTAAGCATTTTCAACAACTATTTTCTACAATGACATACTTCCCTGAGGCCACAGAAGTGCAATTTTGAAAAAAAACAAATAGCCAGTTGGAAACACAGGGGATTTTTTGGTTGGGGATACTTTATTGTTGTGTTCTGTTTCGGGAAACTATTAAATTAATGCAAAATGGTTCACAACAAGATTTGTATTTACACAAGACAGTTTAAGTACTAGAAGAAGTAAATTACTTTTGTAAGAGCCCACCTACCAAATTATATAATGTAGGGAACCTTTTAGTTAACTACTAAATTGCACTTAGAAGTGGCAGAACTCTGCATTCTCCTCTACTACTTAATATTTTACAGTAAAACTGCAAATGCAGTGTCTCTAAAAAATTACCAAATTTGCCAGAGCTGAACACAAGCACCTGTGATCACAACAGACGTTACCTTTAACACCCAATATGTTGGGTTTCAGTCACACAAAATTGTTACATTGGTTGCTTTAAGAAAACATTTTATTTTTTCAGTATGTTTTAAAATGCTATTTCCGTATTTGTTTGCAAATACGATGAATACATAAAGAGATACTGTAATGTTGTAATGCTTTGGCATTAACCTGCCTGGCCGAGGAAATGACCAATCCACACACACTCTGGGGGAATGAACCAGGGAGGCTGCTGCAAGCATGAAGATGGGGTGGAGGGAGGGGTAGTGAGAAAAGATCCACATGAAGGAATAAAGGAACAGCTGTGGAGGCTCTTGATAAAGCAGAGCCAGGAGGAAAGGAGGGCATGAGAGGAAACTGGTGAGGCTCAATCACCAAACTGCAAACAGTCTTTAGCTGCTGGAACACACCGTGAACCCGAAGAGCAGTGTGTTTCAACAATTAATCTACTTTACACTCGTTCTTCTGGCAAATTAATTTTCTACATACAATTACCCCATTGCTTACTAGGAAACTCCTAATTAACATCTAATTTTGAACTCATAGAAGAGACACCGGGATCCACATTTTCCTTAAATTCAGCACAATGGACCAGAAGAGCAATTCAACAATTAATCCACCTACCTCCATTCTTCTGGTTAATTACTTGTAAACATACATTTAAATTGCTTGCCAGGAAATGTCTTATTAACATCTAATTTAGAATTTAGCCATATAGAAGGGACATAATTTTACCAATGACAAACAAACAGGAACGGGACCTTTGTCATACCTGACTTACTAGCAAGTGCCTCAGTTCTATTTAAAATGATTAAATGACTACTGTACATTTATTGTGATGAGACTTAAGCAACATCATTTTTAAAACAAAACTGAATCTTTACCATTCTGCACTATTTAATAATGTTAAAAAGCTGTTAGTTACAAAATCTATCACCACATACCCGGCACTTTTCCGAAATGTCCAAATGGACAAAGGGAAAACACATGAAAAACTACATACTGTAAATATCACCTGAGAAAACAAGAAAGCTGTTTTTGCAAGGCTTCATGCAGTTTAAAATATCCAATCCTTCAAGAATATAATATATTTGCCACTGTGTTTCCTGCTAACATGTGGATGTGAGGTTTTGGAACCAGCATAGCACCAAAGTTCAAAAGTCTTCAGAGAATATAAGCATGATTTATCACAGTACTCAATAAGTGTGGTGCATAAACTTGATTCAATAAGAATCAGACTAGGTATTCCCCTAAGGAAAAAAAATACATTTTTAATTACTTAAAACTGTGGGATGTGAAAACCACTCGTGAACTTGATCTCTCACATCTTAAATTCATCTAACAATCTGGGCTGGAATCTCTGTTCACCCCATTTAAAAAAAAACCCTGAACTTCCAACCACCCCTTTTCTATCCACTTCATCCAATTCAGGGTTGTGAAGGAGCCTATTCCAGCAAGCAACCGGCCTAAAGTGGGATACACCCTGGACGGATTGCCATTGCAGGGCAGACACACACACGAACTCTTGCACCTGGGCCAGCTGGAGGAAATCAGAGCACCTGCAGGAAACCCATGCAAACACAGGGAGAAGATACAAATCCCAGCAGAGAGCACCACAGCTCCAGAACTGAACCCAGGGCCCCAGCACTGCGAGGCAGCAATGTTAACCACACCACCACAGTACCGCCAGCAAGGGGTTACTTTTTTTTAAACAAGAATACTTCTTTCCAAACAGAAACCAAGTGAAATTATGTTAGAAACACAAAACATGAAGTACAGAAAATTCAGAAATATACACAGTATATATTATCCATAGTGAAAGCACCTTCCCTTTAATGAAGTGAATACATTTCTTTGTTAATCTTGGCATAGACATACCAACTTAACCTCTTTAAAATTCCATCCCACTGCATAAGTTTAACGAAAAAGGTTCATACACCTTATAGTGAAGTAACAACCAACTACTGTACTATACTCCAGAAAAAATATCACAACACACAAGGAGAAATGTTTTTTGAGCAACTGAATTATTTTTTTAAATGATTTCATTTCCTGTGTTTAAATACAGAAGTGAGTTTAATGGCTAAGGCCAAAAAAATAGTGTTCCAATAACTCACCTTCCCAGAAAGCACTTAGGAAAGGTGGTAAGTTTGCGCTTCCTGTCTTTGATGAGGTTTCCCTGTTTGCTCATCAGGTTGTAGAGCTTCTCTCCTTTCTCAGACACCATCATCCAGGTATCTTGTTCCATTCCTAATCTGAGGCCTGTCAGGGAATAACAAAGCTGTGAAATGTGGAATTCAGAAAAAAAATGTTTTATAACACTAAGTAACAGATGAGGCAGTTTCTGTCAGAAGTCTCCGAAGGCATTTCAACTTGATTAAAAACATACCGCACTCTGTGAAAATGTGTTTTTGGTAATAAACCACAGCTCTTGATGAGACAGCACATTCAAGACGCCTCTGTCCCCATACAGGTGTGGACTCATACCCCATCGCCCCAACCCTAAGACCAGGCCCCTCTCTTATTAAAAACCAGGGTAACCCCCTCCCCAGTCCGGCAGAGAATTAACAGGAAACTAAACCCACCACACAAGTAGTGGCTGTGTGATTTTTTTACATCAGTGAAGTATTATAAAATTATTTCTAAAGCTGGAAGTAGAAGTCAATCCCTCTCTTCATTTGCTTTCAAACTTTGAAGACAGCAAAAAAATCCTAACTCAAAACTGACAGGAAACTAAAATGAGCTCTAAATACCACAAAGTACATTATGGTTGTGGTATTTCTTTAAATTAATGTAGTTAATCCTGTTAAAAGGTCCACATTGACTTCTAGAACAATTTTACAATATAAATCCTGTTTTGATTTTATTCTGCTGCTGTTATTGGTGAAATAATAATAAAAGTGTTATTTTTATGCATTTTTAACAAAACATCTTAATTGCCTTTTTTGCCTTTGAATAAGCAAGACCTTCAAAGGCTCATCCTTCTCATTCTGCCAAAGGCCTTTACAATACACACAGACAAATGGAATTATCTTCATAAAACAAATCAAATTCCCAGAAAGAAAAACTATTTCTTTTTAAAATTATGAATTGCAAGGTAGATTTCCCTGCTGGGAAACATTACTAAAAGGCATGTTTTAACAAAGAAGTGTACTGTAGACTTCGAAAGGATTATTGTCCACCTCCATAAACAGCCCTAATTTGACAATCCATTTTATTTATACAAACAGAGACTCATTGATTGCAATTTTGTCCTGCTTATTTATAGCTAACCTGGGGTTCCTGAAAATTGTGTTATGTTCACAAATTTCTGTTTGAATAACAAAGAATTAAGTCGCTCCTAGAATGGTTTGATTTCTTCAAAAAAGCCAAACAATTTTCACAGCCAGAATAATGCAGGAAGAACAGAGCATTTACACATGACTCCTGGCCTGAGATATAATGTATTGAAAACTTCTATGTTTTATTTATGCATGTGTATGAATATGTGCATATTTTTTAAAAAATTATTTAATTTAAAATGATTAGTTTTAACAGATGTGTTTGCCCTGTCGCAAGTCTGGTAAACACAGATGATCAAAGTCTCTGGTGGCTTATTCTGGTTAATTTAAGCTTCATAGTAAGGCATCAAAAGACAGAAAATCTAGATAGCCTGAGAGAAAGCACAAAGTGAACCAGATGGAAGACAGGAAAACAGAGAAATGAAGAAGAAACCTCACCATCCATCTCCTCTAAGCTTGTGCTCTGAAAGAGGGAAATTCTGATTTCCTTTTTATGGAATCCTCAGGCTAAAATGTTCTCTCCTCATTTGGTGATGCATTTTTAGAATAGGGAAATAGTTTCCCGTTCACTTTTGGACATGTGGTAGGAAGCGAGATTAAGTCCTGAGCTGTATTCTTTTGTTTAGAACACTCACTCCTGTCAAGGAGTTGCATAGGATTTTAGGCTACAGAGCTTCTGTGTTTTGAAATTTTCTAGAACATGGGCCTTGGAGATGCATTATTTTGTATTTAGAGTAAACATTTGTATACATTTTTGCTTGATGTGTTATAGTTGTGATGTTTTTGATTATAAATATTTGTCTGTGAATGTTTTACTCTGATATTATTACTCTTTTGTCTTTTGTCTAGAACAGTGCCAGAGAACACACATGCCTCAAATTATACCTACTGTTCAGGTTTATTAATTATTAAATATATTTTCAATTATGTCCCTCCAACCCTAACAATGTATATGCATTAAAGATTTCAAAACCAGTAACACTGGGTGCTTTTAAGTAAAACATTTTTATTATTTCACCACATCTCAAAATTGTCAGAAAGGAAAACAGAGAACATTAACAAGGAAGAACTAAATAAGAAAACCCCAGGCTGGAGTTCTGGGAATAAAGGAATGGGTGTGATGGCTCTTGACCCAGTAGATCCAGGAGGAAAGAAAGAGGAAGCATGAGAGGAGACATGCTGAGAAGCATGAGAGGAGAGGCTCAAATGCTGAACTGATAAAGGGCGCAACTTCAAACAGTCCTGAGCTGCTGGAATACACCCTGGACCTGAAAAGCAGTTTTCACCACACTCCGGAGTAATGAACCAGGGAGGCTGCTGTAAGCATGAAGATGGGGTGGAGGGAGAGGGTGAGAAAACATGCACACGAAGGAATAAGAGAACAGCTGTGGAGGCTCTTGATAAAGTAGAGCCAGGAAGAAAGAAGGGCATGAGAGGAAACTCGTGAGGCTCAAAGCCAAACTGCAAACAGTCCTGAGCTGCTGGAACACACCGTGAACCCAATGAGCAGCGTGTTTAACAATTAATCCACTTTACACTTATTCTTCTGGTAACCTACATGTCTACATCCACCTATCCTATTGCTTCCTAGAAATTTCCTAATTATCATCTAACTTAAATTTCACAGAAGGGACACCAGGAACCACATTTTCCTTAAATTCAGTACATGTGCCAACGTCAGAAAAAAGGGCAGTAATGGAAAGTTTCTATACTTTTGCAAGCAAGTGTGTCAGTTCTATTTAGAATGATTAGACATCTTCCTAGCAAAACCGAAGAGTCGGATTAGCTGGTGGAAGGAATCATCTAATTGTCTACTTCAGAGCCACCTCTAATTATGAAAAGTAGCATATTAGCGATAAAGCTTGATGATTATGAATGGCAGCAACCTTGTTAACATAGTTTGTTCTTTCTTTCTGAGTTGGGGTGTAAGATAGAAGGTGAAAGGAATGTCCTGTACACTATAGTCCATGATGTACACTTCTCCTTCAAGGAATTGTTTTGTGAATGAACTAACGAGTGGGTTTTCAATCACTACACAATGCCTTGCAGAATGCTTCGCATACTCACTCTTTCTCCTTTCTCGCTCCTTTAGAATAGCTTCCAGCCACTCCTGCTTCTCTTCTGGTGTCTTTGCCATGCAAACAAACCATTTGTTTTTTGCAGTGTTGTGTATCTTCCAGCCATTGTTCACTATGTTTCCACTGCTGTGGTAATCGGCTACAAAACAAAACAGAATGACACACACACAAAAAAAAAAATCAGCAGTGAAACAGGAACCAGAGGAAACAAGTGGAAACTACACTGAAGTAGATTTAAAACTCAGAACCTTAGAATTTACTTTTTTATGTAAATGGTTGTGGGAGTCTGGAACACTCTAACTGCTAAATTGTTGGAGCCGATACCCTGCTTTCTTTCAAAAATGTTTAAATAAGAACCTTGGATCAAATAAGTACTAACAAATGGGTTACATAGGCCAAATGACTTCCTCTCTGTAACCTTTCTAATGTTCTGATGTTCTAAAAGCTATTGTATAGGCTGCTGTGGTACAATGAAAGACTTCACACTCTTATTAAATGTTGTTTAGTGTTTTAATAACCAGATTCTTTGCCTTCAAGAGAAATATTTTGTGTCATGTGGCACAGCCAACAAGTATGTTACTCTGTTTTTTTCATGTCTATTATGTTATCTGTAGAAGACCACAAAGCAAAACTAAGCAGAGAAAATAGATGAGTGCACGTACCAAGCTTAGAATGCAAGCTCAAGATCACCACATAAAATTAATAACTAAGAGAAACTTTCTAAAGCTAGCCAGGTTAAGTATCACTGCAAGGCAATGGTGCATTGACAATGAGATTGAAATACGGTAAAATAAGAAAAGAGATGCTGTTTTATTGAAAAATGGAGTTGATTATTTTTGTAGAGGAAAATCCTCCCATTTTCAATCCATTTGTCCTGGTGAGTGTCCAAGCCACAGAGAAACAGCATTATGAAAATATTTCTTCCCTGAGCAAAAACTGTTTCTATCATTTTGTTCTGTCTCAATGTTAAAACAGAGCTTGGTGATTCATCTTTCTACATGTTACAAAAGAACACATGTTTGAGTGCAGTGAAGAGAACCATCTCCGTCATTCCTCCAGAAGGCTAAATATCATGTTATCATGTAAATATCAGTATTAGAAGTAGAAACTCTAATGGCAAACGTAAATTTTAAAGTAAGTTTTCTAGCCTTTGCGTGCAAGAATGCCCCTTGGGGCACAGCAGAACATAAAAAGACGCACAGTATCCCAAAGTTCAGACATGCATTATAGTAGTGCTGCACTATATTTACTGAATGTTCTATTCATTATTCCTTGGATCCTTCGGCTCTTAAGAACAGCCAATATCTGGAGCAAAAACAGCATCTATTGACCCAATTTTCCAGAGTGGTAAAAGTAATAGCTTCCAGGGATTTCTTCCAAATTGATTCATCCTTGCGAAGTGTTCGGTTGTCAGACTTTTTAATGCCAAGACAATTGCAAAGACAAATCTGAATCAAAGCAGAGTTTTATGTTCAGCTGCACTGGAGCTCATATAGTAATGAAAATAAAAAGGTTTTTCCTATTGTTTTTGTATATTGAAAGTTTATTTCTGCAGGGTGATTCTAGTGGCCAAGATGTTAACTGTAAATATTCTAACAGCCCAGTAGTGAGTGCTTAACAACATTTATGCCACTGTCATTTTACATAAATTATCCTACTTTCACTTTTGGAGCCAGTAGAATTGTAACTTCACAACTTTCCAAATGACAGGAGGCAATTCGGGCTGTCTTGCTTGTTTGGTTGCTTAAAACTAATCGATCCCAGAATCTTATTCAAAATTTCTTGTTTTCATCTCATGTCTTAAAGGATCTTAGGGAATCAGCTTCAGCACCATGGTTGTTATATTCCCAGACACCACTGACTCTTTGCATAAAGACGTGACTTCTATTTTCAGTCCTAAATGCATCTGCTCTTAATTTATACCGCATTTCTCCTCAATGCCAATTTAATATGTTTTGAACAAACTAGTCCTTCAGGGAGGGCTGTTCATCCAAATTATTTATTTCACAAATGTATTTCAATGTGCCATTTTTATATATTTTAAAACAATCGTAAATAAGTAACAGTGAAGCTGTTCCTATGTCTGACACTTAACACACCATATTATAATTCAAAGAAGTGACATTTAACTTTAATAATCAATTACAAATTAACAATAAAGCATCTGTTATTTCACAACAAAAGGCGTTTCTAACCCTTATTGCCTAGATAGAACTGTTGCAATGTAATCTTATAAACCATTCTTCTGAAAACGTCTAGGTATGTTCTTTACCTGCTTTAAAGTACTTCAACAAAATATCAGTAGTTTGGTAAAATTGTAATAAAGACAAAACAAGCTGACAAATATTAAAGAACAACATGCTTAATGCTTTAGTAGGCGGAGGAACTGGCAACATTGGTCAGAGATCAGCACTGACACAACACCCCTCACTATGAGGAATGAACCAGGGAGGCAGCTGCAATGGTGAAGCTGGGGTGGAGGGAGGGGAGACAGAGCAGATGTACACAGAGGTGTGAGTAGCCATGGACTATTTGAACATAATGGAGCAGAATTTGAATCCTCTTGAACCTCTGTTAAAATCTTTTGTAGTGTGTGGTTAAAATGAATTTGGCAATTTATCCTTTTGCCTAAGATCTTTTAAAGGTATTCAGACTGGATTGGGAAAACACTCAGGCTCTCACCATGAAAGGAAACTAGCAGCATTTATTACATTTGGTGCTGAAGATGAAACTCATTTTTTCTTTAATATTTCAGATTGAAGCCTTAGACACAAGGCACACATGCACAACCACTTGAAAAGCAAGCCATGTTTATACTCCACAGAACTCCAGTCTGTCTAAAATATCTATAATATGAAGCCCTTTTGGGAGAAAATAATTGTTTCTACAAATATAACTGATCATCTGAGTGTGTTTCTTATCCAAGATACACTGCATTAAAAGTTAAAAAAACACTTTTTTTTCTTGAGTCCCATCATTATGCCTACAATATGACATCATTATGTAATCTAAAATGCTACAAAAAACACGCTCCACCCTTCTAATGACCACAGAGGAGAAGCATTGAACTCCTTAGATAAATAAAAAAAAGTAAGTGCCAATGTTGCATAATGTGGTCCAGCTAAAAAAATCACACCAGTTGTATTCACTACTGAAAAATAAAACAGCACTATCTTGGCTTTCAGATTAAATTTTCACTCCTTAAAATTTAAAATAAACCATAGTCATGTGGCAGTTCTAAATGACTACAAGTAAAATGCAACAGAAAATAGTATTCTGCTCATTTCCAGTTGCAGAATTGGGTTATGTGCAACGGTAAAAAACTAGCAAGCAATACAGTACCTTTAGCAAGCACTGCCTCTCAATCAATTTGAAAGAAAAAAAAGCACATATACAGTACAGTAATATGAACACACAAAAGGCTGCAAATTAGATTAAGGCACATTGTTCACTTAGTAACTAAATTTACTGTAATTAATTCACATGGTCTGAGTTTAAAACATATTTAACATAATTTATTAAAAGTAAAGAATTATGTACTGTATGGCTTTACTTTTTGGTAAGAGGATATGAGCAGCAACAACAGCCTTTTAAAGACATGTTTGTTAGAATGGTGTCTCTTTGTTAACAGTGAGAAAGGTTCAGGTCATTGAAAATATTCTTCTAAAATGTTGTCATTTTGATTCACTGTGCAAAAGGTTAAACCAGACTTATTCTGAACTGGATAGTCCAAATTTGCAGAAAGCAATTTATGTATTGCCAGTAAGATTTGCAGCAGCACATACTGTAACTTATGCCAGAAGCACAGAGCATGAGTTGGGAATCCCCCCCGCTGCGATCAGGACACAGCGACACAATTTAGAATCGCATACAGTATAAACCTAGCCCTGAAAGTCTCATCTTTCAGACGAGCCGTTAAACTGAGGTCCTGACTCTCTGTGGTCATTAAAGATCCCCGGGCATTTCTCGATAAGAGTAGGGAGTTATCACGGTGTCCGGGCCAAATTTCCCCCCTCAGCCCTTACTGTGGCCTCCAAACTGTCCCCATGTATGATGGGCTTACACTGGCCCTGCGATGGACTGGCGCCCTGTCCAGGGTGTACCCTGCCTTGCGCTTGTTGCTTGCCGGGTAGGCTCCAGCTTCCCACGACACCGTGTGGTATAAAGCGGTTTAGCAAATGACATGACATGACATTAACCTACTGTAGCTAGTACGTCATTGGAAAGTGCAAGAAAAACCAGGACTAATGGAGAAAACCCACAAGCAGGGGGAATAAGAGACTCCTCATAGAAGGGGACACAGTCCTTAATTAAACCATGCCTAACCTCCAAACTGTTGTGTTGCCTTGTCATTATACCTTCTTTTAAAAGTTAAAAGGGGAAAAAAAACAATTTTACTGAAAACAAGTTTTTGCCCTCAAGTAAGAGTTAGATCACAACCTTTCAGTGATGAATTGCTGACAGGTTGTGCAGTATTCTTTCACAGATTATCTCTAATGTGCCTATTTTACTACAATAAGGCTACCATCATTAGAAAATGAGTATGAATTTATAATTCATGCCATCACAAGTACTTTCACTGTAAGTACTGCTTGACTGAAACATTAACTTTACAGCTATCAGTGAAATATTAGTGTAATTTCCATGCCTCCCATTACAATCACTCAGCTCCAGACTGTAATTGCTCAACTCTGGTAACACGCCTAATATCTTTTTGAAAGAAACACTTCAGAAATGTATAAACTGTTTGTTCTACTCCAAAGAATTCAAAGAAAGCTCATTGCTTCTGCACTTTTCTCCTGTATTGCTGATCGATAGAAAAACATTTACCTGTGCCATCATCCACATTCTCGACTTCCATAACTTCAGTATTGATTCTGCCTCGGAACAGATAACGAGGTCCGTCTGTAGCTGCCTTGCTGTTTTTTAAACGTCTGTAATTTTATAGAAAGAAAACAAAATAATAGTTAACTCCTGTTATGTCCTGTTGGCTTCATTGTACTAAAATTCAATGTGTCCATAAAACTTCTACTTAAAAAAGAAGACACAGTCTTGTGAAATACCCAATCATGATGGCTGAAGCCCTGCGGATTTTACAGGTCTTCTTAAGATATCAACTGCTGACACTTTAGGAGAGATTTTATCAATTAAGCACATTACTATATTTATTTAAGCAGCTTATACCAAGGTTGATAAAAATTAAAAAATATCTCAGAAGTATTTGATTGTTCAGATTTGGACAGTTCTTTTGTAATCATTACTATTGAAGATAGGTTCATACCTAGAACGGTTTTGCAATTTTTCTGTGCTACCATTGCTAACTATCTGAAGCGACTCTGCTGTGCTGGGAACATTTTAGCAACACCCACACACGTCCCTGGAAACTGTATCCAAGTAAAAAACTGAAACAGTTGATTTCATCTGTTTCTGGGAGGTGGGTGGAAAAAAAGAGAGGTTTGAGAAAACCCACATGGGCCTGGAGAAGACATGCAAACTCCACACAGACTGCAGAGGCTGGAACTGAACCCAAGACCCAGAAGAAGCAGAACTGCAATGCTGTTCTGTAGTTCTTCCTAATGGGTTTTTAATGAAGAAAGGAAAGAAATACACAACTCAAAAACACTATTTTTTTAGTAGCTGGTTTCTAAACTTATCAGCACATTGTGAATAAAGGCTTATCCATCTCGTGGAGTTAAAATTAAAGTGTTGCTGGGGTTTCTGTGCAAAACTGCTTTAACAGTCAGTGAGTATAAAAAAACCATCATTAGTATTCAGTTTGGGTCAGAGTTTATTTAAACTTGATTTTCTTCTGCACATTGAACAAGGACTCTGCACTTAGGCCAAAAAGGAAGACAGCAGCAGGTAGGGTGACAGATGAGACTTTATAAGTACTAATTTTATATTTCATAGGACTTATTTCTCATTCCTGTGCAAAAAATCTAAAGCGTTTGAGGTGTCACAACATCCGCGGCAGATATCATCTGGTGACTTACAGTAAGAGAGGCTTCAGTGTTATGCTTTCGATCCCAATTCAAAGCCTACTTTCACATTCCCTGCATTTATGATAGACTTAAATTCAATCAGATTAGCAAATGAATTCATTTGCACACAAGGAATTCAAGCCTGCCGAGAAAAGTACGATGCAGAATTCCCTGTTTAGAGCAAGGAGCACTTTCTACATGATTAAAATCTGAGCATAACAGGAGATCTATTACACAAGTGAAACAGTTTCACAACAGAATAACTACCGATATGTACACGACACAGCAAACATGTCTCGGGACAATTCTCATCACCAGGGTACTGATTGACTTCTGTGGTTCCTGTTTTGGTCTTGCTATCAGGTAGAAGGTCGAACGAATGAAGTGCGTAGAACAGTAGATCACATTTACCCTTACAATGCATCATAGTAATCCTGTACACATACGTCTCTGTGACAAGATCCATTTTGAAATACGTCTAAATTTCTGTGACATTTTAAAATAATCAACATGGCCTGAGAGGAAAGAGCTCCACCAGTTTCTGGCAAGAGGCCACAACTCTCAATCAGACGTTTCATCAAGATTTAAGACCCGCTCTGCAAGAGTCACCCATTAATGTCATATGGGATGCAACTAAAGTCAATTACAAGGGCAGAACTTTGTCTCACTTCTATGTTTTGTAGTGAAGAGTATTTTTGCTCCAACAACCTTGTGATTTTAACAGAATCAGACATATCCCTATCAACCGTGATGAGGTTTGTTTGGTAAAGACAGATGAAATGTTCAATGAAATACTTAAGGATTCCAAACTGCTCTTAAGTCAAATGATAGAAAGATATTTCCATACAAGGAAACTAATTTATCTCCAACCACTGCAATATTTCCAAAACAAAGTATATATACCTATTCTTCTTCTTACAGTACACCAGCAGGTTATCAAAAAGAAAGAAAATCCGTTCCTGTATGTTCCCAGCCGATATTTTCAATAGCACTCCGTGCATGAGCATCTCTGTACACGTATCGGTGATGTTGGAACCCTGAAAGGAATAAAAAAAACGTGAATACAGTCATTTTTTGAGTGAGAATTATCAAAGACCTTACAGAGGATCAAATGTCTGAGATGCAAGATGGAATTTTCTGGAGATAATAAAGGAAATGCAACAAATAACTACTGTCATAAAAAAAACAGATAAGAAGATGCATGTTGGCACTCCCTATTATCCTAATCCTGCATGCTGCCTGACTTGTCGGCAGAACTATTTGTCAGGGATCACACTACTGTTGTAGCGAGGGTATCTCCACTCTCAGCTGTGGACAAAGAAAAACTGCCAGGTGGTGATTTGTGTTCTTGTAACCAACAGTGACGATATTCCTCAAAAGACTGGATCATTCACTTTAGTTTTTCCGATTCTACTCAGCAGGCTCTCTGTGATACAAGAATATCAAACCAGACTTTGAGGCTGGGCATTCACCTGATCCTGCCTAGCTTAAAAAAGTGACAAGAAAAACACAAACACTCTGTTTGACAAAGCGATTTCTGGTACGGAGATACTGATAATGGTCAGAAAAATAAAACAAATTGCTTTCTGATCATCAATGCAAAACCCTGCACACTTAATAACCTCGCAAAACCAACGGGCGTGATTTATTTTCCAAGTTATTAAAATCCTTCTAACAATGGGATAGTATTAAGTCTAGGTTAAAAAACAACACGCCAGAAAACAGTTTCCCAGAAGAATGATGTGAATGGAATTATCCTGGCTAAAGTCCTTGACAAATGTTAACAAAATGTGGTACAACCACAACCCAAGAAATATACAGTACAATGGATAGTCTGAACGATCAAGATGTTCTGCTTTGATTGTTTGGGAAGATGTTTCCTATTACAAAAATGTCAATAATTTCCTGATGGCTGTCTTGCTGCCACTTCTAATTGCTTGTTTGGGTTCCCAGTAAGCTTTTTTCTGCATGCAAGGGAAAACATTCCTTGATGTTCTGACACGCCACTGGATTAACCCTTTCACTTATCTTTCAGAAGTGTTCTGAGACACTTCTTAGATGCTGCAAGTTCTTATAGGGGCTTTCTAACTGACTGAGGATTTAGCTTTCAGTATGGAATAGACATGATCATAAGCTATTACAATTCACTTAAATTGTATGACAAGCTAGTAAAGGTCTGGTGAGCATATTGCAATTCTGAGAAAAAAAACAGCATCTTTTATTTTCTTACCTTGACTTCAGTGGGACTTTTTTATGGTGCTTTGATCTCCTGTCAAATCTAAAAATAACTGCCTCAGCTTTCAGGCCAGAAAATGTGCTAAACATTTCCTTCTGGTAGGAAATCACTATTCTGCCCTTTCTTTCTCTCTCTCTCTCCCCATGTGTTACAGAGCTTCTGCTCAAAGCCAGATGTTTCTTAATCAAACCTGCTATGGTATTGCTTAGCAATGTGTGGGTCATCTTCTGGAGCTTGTTCCGGCAGCTTTGAAAATTCCCCTCACAAGTTTCTGTGAAACGAAAGCTGCCCTGTACACCCCAGCCACTAACAGTTACCATTTTAAAAATCTATGGTCTCATCGGGTATGAGAATTTCATGGTCATGTAATCAGTCTGGAGCTTGAAAAGAATTGCAAGCCCACTGGTTCACATGAGTAGTGTTTTGGCTCAAAGGATTTGTTCATTCAGCTGTGTGCTATGTGGTATCAGTGGGGCTGGTACAGCAGATCTCTGACAAGCAGTGGATCAAATCTCCTCCACCAACAAACCACAGTATGAGATTGGCACCCAGCCCCAGATCACCAAGACCGAGGATTATTCATCAATAAAACTGTAGCAGACTTTAGAAGAGCACATTAGACGGGAAGAAGACAACAGGGCTCATTCATTGTGAACCTGTTACTTCAAAAACCCAAGAAATCGTTTGGAGTTTGAAGCACTCCAAATAAAGAGGTGCTTATTGTATACAGTAGCTAGGGATTTGCAGAAAAGATCTCATTTCCCTTTCTCAGAGAATCTCATGACAATCAGAACAATTCATTTTTCACTGATTTTCAATCCAAGACATCTCTACATTTCTACGAAAGCTAACTGAAAGGACCCTAGGGTGAAGAGGACCTGCAGCTTGCGTCATCAGGCTTATCCGGTTCTCTTTTTCCACACCTGTAGATAATTTCATATTTTCAGTACTTATCTTCTGTTGTTTCCCCTTAGGCTGCAGTTTGTCATGCTAACTGATCACAAGTGGATTAAAAGGAAGTGTGGTGAGGAAGTAAATTGGCATTGCGCACAGTTCTGAAGGCTACAGATGAAGTACCCCACGCTAAGCCTTAGCAACACTAATGCACAACATTGGAACCCACACACCAGCACATTCAGTGCCTAAAGGTCTTACCTAAGCCTCTTTCTTGTCATAACTGTCACAGGAGGGACTGAAGTTAGAACTGAAGAATCAATATTATCTTCATCTACTGTTCAACAATTGGCAAGATTTTTACCAAATAGAAAGACATTCACATTATTTGAACAAAGATAAAACCTTTTAAGACTCTTTTGGAGGTCCTAAAAAAAGGAAACTACTGTATATAGGAAACCAGTGCTGTTCTGTCATATTAACAGCACTAGGCTCAAATGGGCTCTAAAGTCACTCTGCAGTGATGCAAGTATCACACAGCTGTTATGGGCTCAGGATAGCAAAGTGACCTCAGGTACCGGAAACAATAAAAAAAGATTATCCAGCATGAATTTTTTCCCTCCATATTTGGAAGCCACGGCCTAGTTATCTTTCTAACATTTCTTTCCAGCTGGTACTGTAGCCTGATTTCCGCTTCATATTTTTATACATCATACATAATGAAGAATGAACTAATATTTAGGAATAGTAGGGTAGGCATCAAACCACACAACACACAGATTCAACTAACTCACACTGGGCCAGTAAAAACTGTCTCCACCCGGTTTAAAGTCCAGTGCTGAAACACAGGATTATACTCAGTATGTAAGAATCCCTACTATTATTAGGTTGCATCAGGAACTAACATTTTTATAGACTCCGAAAAAGCAGAGAGAGGGAAAGGGCCATGAATGGGATACAAAAGATTAAAGCAAAGATAAATATTTCTGCTCCCAGGAGCCACCCCATATTTAATATACTGTAATACAAAACATTTAGATGCAAGGAAAAAAGACATCAGCAATACAACACAACTGCAGCACATGCAGTCTGCACAATAATTATTTCAGACTAAACATGATCCTGAGCAATAATTATGTAATGCAAATGCCATGGTAAATATTCTGGAATTCTTTAAGGAAGCATACACTTACTATGAGGGAAAAACTGATTTATAAATCCTTTGTGTACCAGACAGACAAGTGATGACCATCTAAGAGCAAACTGTTACCTTCATTTCAATTCAGATTTCAAAGTTTTAAACGCAGTTGGCTAAATAAAAGACAGCAAACAATAGTAAAAAGTCTAAAAGGTGTGTATGTTAATAAGGGCTTTAGCTGCTCAAATGTGGTTACATCAAAATCATTGAAAGGCCATGGCTGTCTTTTTAAAGATGTGCCAGAACACTTTCTTCATAAAAGTTTCACCAACTGTTTTTGATTTGTGGTAGATTTTTATAATGTTTGATGTGGAAAAAAAAACTCCAGCTGGCGGAACATATAAATACATTATTTGATCTAAAACAATAAGTTCTTTGTCCCCTCAAACTTTTTTTTTAAAGTACAGAAATGAGAAAATCTATTTTTGCAAAATGCAAACACCCTTCAAAAATTCCAGATTCCCAAAGAAGATCAATGATGTAAATCGAAATGAAACTGAGAAAAATATTTTTTTAATTGAGCTATAAAACACATGACAAATTATTCTGATCGATTTTGATTAAGACAGTCTCAATGTTTTTCCATGATAGGAATGGTTTCAGAACTATTGTAAGTCATCATTCATCTACATTCCTGTCTCTAAAGGAAGTATTGATTCACATTAATCAGATGTTCGATACAGGAAGCAGTCTCTAGTTCCAGGTTCTAACATGTCAATTTTTCTATGGAAAAAAACAAGTTAAACTGAAAAGTATCCTGTGTGTCTACTGTATCTTGGTTTGTTTAATAACTACTACCTACAGTATATTAACTTTGAAAATGTTAGTTTGCCAAACAAAGCACTACATAATAACTTTATTCTTATATTTTCAACTCACACACAGTAATCTTTGTCCAAAAGTCACACTTCACTAAACTGTATCCTTTGCGTTTCTTACATAACCATTCTGCCTGGCATTCACACACCATACCAGAGCTCTAATCAGTGATTCATCCTTCTCCTAGGTTGATCACAGTCTTGTTCATTCAGCTAGCAACTAATGCGTTTCACTCTCTCAAACAGGACTTTTGTCTCAGCTTCATAATGATCTAAACAAAATCAGTTACATAACCACTTCAGTCCCTACTGAGCAGTCACTTTGATTGCCATTTTGAGCTGCTACCCTTAGACTAATCTTCCCAAAAATAAATGAAGATATTTATTTTCCTTGATTTGGTGGAATAAATTATCTGTAGGCAAAAAGGATATGAGAACACCGCATTTGACCCTAATATTCCTTCTGTTGTTTTGTAATGTTCTCAATGTTGTAATTCAGACAGTAGATGAATGCATATATGTATTCTGCATATTGACTAAATTTGATTTCTGAAATGATAAGAGGTCTCTGGACAAGACACATTTTGCAAACCAATAATAAGGATTCACAGCTTGCTTAATAGCTTGCTGATTGCGTATTTTTCCAGTGGTCTCTCTTCTCATTAAAAAGAACTCTGGGCATCTACTATAGCTCATTTAATTGAGCCAAGATTAATTCTAATTTCTTAGGAAAGGAATAATGTTAATATATTTGGAGTTCGAAGGTCACACAATTGGTCTAAGTGCTACTGAAGTTAATAAGTTCGCAAATTCGCAAATCTTAATAAACTGATGCATGTAATGTATTAATGGAGAAAAAATTAGACATAGAAAAAAATCCTTCCAATGATGCATCAAACAAAATGTCATTAGTTTTCATACATTGTTGAATCAGGGGTATACTTGTAGATTAAGTTAAACATTTTAGCTTCAAATTTAAAATTTTAAGTATTTTAAGTTTGTTTTTTGTGCTTTGCAGATAAACCTGGCAACAATAAAATCCCAAAGAAGACTGTTGCACATCACCACTGCTTTAGTGCCTTTAAATAAGTAAACTTGAATTCATACTTTGTATGTCAGAGGGAAGATACCTTGAAGGGTTGCAGATTTCAATAGCATTAATTTAATGAATAATTCCCTGCAGTTACAGTATACTGTAACTATAACACAAAATTGCCATGTCCCGAGGGAAAGAAAATGTTGTCTATTTCTACGAACCTCCCATCCCTCGATATGGGACTGCCACTCTTCCAGGACCTCCAGCTTCTCCATCTGCCTCTTGGCTTCATTGATGTTGGAACAGACAGCCTTCATGACCTGGAGAGACTCCTGAACCAGGGGGTAGTCATTGTGTTTCTTTGGAGTCCTCTTCAATAGCTCCTGTTTACATGAACAATCCACATTCCAGGAAGAGTGAATGAAGCTGTTTGAAAATGAAACACACCTCCCCTCATAACTGTTTAAACCAGTACGCGTTCAAGCTGACAGAATAATACTCCAAAGATTTTGTGAATCAACCAACTGAATCAGGATCCGCAAAGGAAAATATTACTCATCTGTCTACTGGTCTATTTAGATCCATTTTTCTGCATCATAATAAGCATTTAGTGTCTTACAAATTTTTTCACCTCCCTGCTAAATTTTCCACATCAATTAGGACTTTATATTCAGTATTCCCACAATGTAATCCAAACTCATCGGTATTCCCACAATGTACTCCAAACTCATAAAGTTAAAAATGCTTAAAATATGTATTTTTTAAAAGAAAAACTGAAGACTACATAGATTTTCAACTCATTTCCTACAGTGACAATAAATCAGTTCAGGTGTAAGAATTAATTAGTGTAAAGATGTCTGCCTGCATTCATAGTTGTAAACATCTCCGTCTCTGTAAGTGCCCTCAGATACTTTAAATCAATAGTTAAATAAAGGAGTGACAAATGAGAAGAAGTCTGTATATCCCATTTAGAACGCGAACTTCATCATTAAGAAGTGAAATGTGCTTCGTGCCACCCAGACACTGCCTAGATCAAGCCAATTAAACTGAGCTGGCAGGCTAGCAGGAAACTAATTAGGAATGCCACCATGAAGTCAACAGTGACTTGCAAATCAAAAGAACTGCAAAGTGCCATGTCACCTGTATGAGCAAGTGTCGAGAAAAGCCATCACTGAAAAATAATCATCTTAAATCTAACATGGGATATGTGGCAGAAGAATAACTGGTCAGAATAAGAGTAAAATTGCAATTATTGGTATAAATGTAAAGAGTTAGGTCTGGTGCAAGCCCAACACAGTACATCACCCAGTCAGCACCAACCCAGCTGTCAAGCATCACAGCTATAGTGCCATGTTATGGCGATACTCCTCATCAACTGAACGATGAGAAGCATCTGAAACTGAGTGATGGGCGAGTTTAAATGGTAGCAAAATAATGATTCAAAGCACCAGACCGAACTCACACTGGAGTGGTTTGATAAGAAGACGAATGTCCTTGAGTGGCCCAGTCAGTCAAGACTTGAATCCAGGAGAAAACTGACAGTGTGGCTTGATGATTCAGTCCATCAACAACACACCTGTCAGAACTATAGGACTTTTGCCAGGACAGAAGGGCAAAATAACATCCTCCTCATCTACAAAGCTGGAAGAGACTCTTCAAAAAAGCCAGAGAGCAATAGCTGCTTCCCAAGGTGTTTCCATCAAGCCCTGATTTAAGAACATGTCACAAATGTCACTTTTTACAGTACGTCGTCTTTGCGGGGTTTGCTCATCTTCGGCCTCCTTCACATATAATAGTGTAAAAGCCGTTACATTTTTGAATATGCTCATGAATACAGTTCATTTAAAAAAAACTGTTCAAATGTCAAAAATGTAACTGATGGGAGTGAATACTCTTTCAAGACTCTTTCAAGTGAATTTGTTAATATTTTGGCAACATATTTTATATTTTTTACACAGAATGTTAAAATTAAAATATCTTATTCTTACGAAGTTCAATGAGTACAAATTAAACAGCTTTAATTTACAGATAGGTTTGAGTGGGTCAGCATGTGGTGCTACAAAGGAACAAGCAGCAGTTAATTCCCTTCTGAAAAAATAAGAAAAAAGGCACAATGGTTCAGCTGCGAAGCCTTCTTCATGCACCTGGGTCCTTTTCTGCCTACTTTTTACTTTTCAGCATGGAATTAGTTGCTGCTTGTTCCTTAATTTTCTAAAGGCCCCATCAGATTTGCAATTTTTGTATATATGAAATCTAGAAGCAGGAATGATTTCTTTTCAGATTATACCTCCTGCTCCAATTTGGAACTGGTAACAATAAGTCAATGCAATATTACAGTTAGGAACCTTGCATCAGCTTGGAATACATAAAGATTATGCACACTTCCTCCTAAAAGGAGCCCCATAGACCATCTTTCACATTGAAAGCCACACAGTGCCCATTGCAGGCATCACCGACAGTAACACAAACCCATAAATGCCCTTCTAGTTCCAGGGTTGGTGCTGCATGGTGTGCCAAGGTTCCTTACCCAACCAGCACCCAGGTGATTAACACCTAATGTGTTCTTTGTTTCTATTTCTGCCTCTGCTTTTTAGAAAAAAAAAAAACATTTTTCTGACCAGAATCAATCCTGGTATGAAAGGTCCCACATCAGAATCTCTCATTATAAATATGAAGATCCCTGAGGTTGATTTTAATCTATCCCAATATTAGGTTTCTACAGTTTCGACTGGCAAAAACAACATACTGCACACTGGAAGCACAGTGGTCAGAGAAAGTAAAACGACAGAGTAATTTCGATCACAGGAATAGCCAGCATCTTTCAGAAGAGAAGCCACACTTACCCTCAAGAGAAGTGGATACTTGCATATCCTCTGTATCGGGGCTACCAGATAGCCTTCCAGGGGTACCTCAGTATTCTTCCTTCCTCCCAGCAGCATGCAGTTCTGACATTGACACAAACCGTGAAGGGAAACAAGCACCACCAGAGAGACGTGTCAAAGCATTATGTTGAAATGCAAATGAAAAACAGAACACTTGTGTCACTGATCAGAGCTTCCGCAGGTTTATCAAAGACCTCTGCTCATTTGTCCTGCGATTGAATACGATTGCATAATGAGTGGCTTCATGCCCTTCCTCATCCTTGTCAAGGTCAACAGAAGCACTAGAAAATGTGTCTAAAAAATAAAATTCCAATTCTTGCTCTCTTTGACTCATTAGTACTACAGAAACTGCCATAGCTAGGCACCACAAAAATTAGTATTACATAAGAATTTTTTCCTTATCTGACAAGATATTAAAAAATGTATTATGAATTATTTTACAAATAGTTTCTGGGTATAGGAGGTTTTATTGGTTAGTACTCTTTGACTCTTATTTTTCAGGTTCTTTAACAGAAAAAAAAACATTCACTACCACCAACTGTTTTTGTTAATTATATTAAAGAAATAATGCAAAGGAACAATTAATAGGTTTATTTCATGCTGAAAAGAGAAGAAAGAAAACACAACATTTCGGCCGTGGAGCCTTCTTCAGCATTATTAAAGAAATAAAATAGCATGAATTCCAGAAAATGACTATATAAAATGATTTTTTAAATTAACACCTGAAGTGCGGCAAATAGATGAAACAATTTATGAATATATATATATATCAGTTTAGTTAGAATACAGTATGTTACTGAACTGTACCAATAATACCAATGCAGTGCGGTGTGGAGCGGTGGCTCTGTGGCTAAGGATCCGCGCCTGTGGCTGGAAGGTTGCTGGTTCGTATCCTGCAGCAGGCAGAGGAATCCGACTCTGTTGGGCCCCTGAGCAAGGCCCTTCAC